AAGGTTTCCAGGGTTAACGAGCTCGTTGCTCTGGATATTCTCGGCCCATTTCCCGCTACACCCAGGGGAAATAGGTATTTATTGACGGGGGTCGAATACTTCACGAGATGGCCTATGGCCTGGCCCCTGGCCAACCAGTCGGCTGCAGCCATCGCGGAGGCCTTTGTCCAGGGCTATGTCCTCGACAAGGGTGCTCCGGAACGGCTGCTGACTGACCAGGGTAAGAATTTTTCGGGGAAACTCCTCCGCGAGGTGTGCGACCTCTTGGGTACGGAGAAAATTCGGACCTCCCCGTATCACCCGCAAACTGACGGGATGGTGGAACGGCTGCATCGGACTATCACGTCCATGCTGTCCCAGCAGGTATCGGAATCCCAGACAGATTGGGACCTTCGCATTCCCGGTGTGTTACAAGCCTACAGGATGGCTCCCCACGCGGCCACCGGATTTTCCCCTTTCTTTTTAATGTATGGCCGCGAGGCTAACCCCCCTGTGACGACCCAGCTGAAGCTCTCGGCGCCTCAGGTGAAGTCTACCTTGTCCGAACACGTTAAATTTAACATCAGCAAATTATCTGAGGCGCGGGAAGCGGCCGTGCAAAATTCTGAACTCCGCCAGAAGGCGAACGAGAGGCTTCGGCTGGGGCGGGTACATGTGTTCAAATGGAAACCAGGGGACAGGGCATGGTTGCACTGTCCCCAGGTGCCGCTGGAAACCTCGTCAAAGTTGGTACGGCCGTGGCGGGGGCCAGTGGAGGTCGTACAGGTCTTGCGGCCGCAATGTGTTCGCGTCAAATGGGGGAGGCGTCGGTGGTACGTGCACCCCTCAAGGTTGAAACCGTTCATTGCGCCGCCCCGTGGTTCACACACACACACGCATGGCCAAACGTGTGAGGGGTCCGCCGACTCCCCGACGTCGCTGCTCTCGCCTAACCTGACATCAACTGTTCCATCTCCAGGTGCAACAGGAGTGACGGGTCCACGCCCGCCAACCCCTCCCGGAGGGGTCGGGGGTCACTCGCCAGCGACGCCAGACTCTCTTGCACCCGGACCATCAACAACCGCCACTGAGCGTGCCGGGGCGGGCCCTTGTGACGGGCCCGCCGCGAGAACGCGCGCCAAAATGCGCAGACTATTGTGAGGTCGGCCGTTGGGGGGCCCTTGCGGACAGTGGGGGGGAGGCGTCCGGAGTGCGTGTATATATGTTGGTTTTGCGGAATGGGGTATTTATTCGGGGGGGTGCGTCGGGTTATATATTTTTTTCTCTTCCTGTTGTTGTTCTTGTTATGGTTCTCATTGTTCTTGTTAAAATTACGCGAGGCACACACACGCTTTTCGGGAGGGATGCACCTTTATTCGGATTTTTTTTGCAGCCGGGGACGGCTGCGAGCTGTACAGGGGGGGGTGATGTAGAGATGTAATTGTGCATGGCCACGGAGGTAGAGGTGTAATTGTGCATGGCCACGGATGGCTAACAAACACAAGGGGCGGGGTTAGGGCCGTACACAGGGGAGGTGCTCACACCGACGTCCGCACCTGCATCCCCCACGGGCCCCTCCCGGGGGCCGAGTCCTATAAAAGGTGGTGAGCCGGAGGGCTCGAGGTCGAGATCAGCTTTAACCAGCGAAGACGGAAGACCAGCTAGAATAGGCCCCAGAGCTCCCCTGGCTCGCTGTCCTTATCAGGGCCGACCAGGGCAAGCCGGTGGCGTGGCCCCGAGAGCCCAGACTGACGAGCCGGTCTGGAGACTCAGGGTGCCGGGATCCCAGCTTGACCAGGGCTGGGATAGGTAGCCTCCCCTAGCTCTGTAGTGGAGGACTTGGGCGTAGGTTAGCGGGGTTAGGTGTTGTGTATCCCTGTAGCCAAGTGACGGGGACGATACCCCCTTAAGTACTGTGTGTACCCGTTACTGTGCACAAGTTGGTGTAATAAATAAGTGTGCCTCCGACCCTGTCGTCAAGCCTCCTAAATACTTACTACACAGGTAACAAGCTGAGATTAGGAGCACTCCCTTTAATAGTGTGCTCCTAATCTCAGCTCATCTATATATATATAAAATCGCGAATCTGTCTGTCTGTCTGTGTGTGTTTGTGTGTGTCGCCGGACCATACGCACTTTCATTGGACGGCGGTTGCCCCTGGCAACGGGTAGCGACGCCTTTGCCGCTTTCATTGGACGGCGGTTGCCCCTGGCAACGAGTAGCAACTTTTCGCCGCAGGGTGGACGCCATTTTTTATTCCCGTTAAAAATAGGCGCACGCATTAACACAAAGTTTCACGTCCTCTTCACTCCCCCCCTACCACAATGTGTGCAATTACTATTATAGGGTCGGTCGATTATTAAATTATAGCGATTAGACAGTATTATTGTATCGCGGGGGATCGGCGCGCCTCACTAAAACCCTACAACGGATCGGCGCGCCTCACTAAAACCCTATAACAGATCGGCACGCCTCACACAAACCCTACAACGGATCGGCGCGCCTCACTAAAACCCTACAGCAGATCGGCGCGCCTCACACAAATCCTACAACGGAAGCGTAACACATTGTAGTGTCGTGGTTAGCGCGCCACGCTACGAACCCTGCGACCCCAGTTCCATTCCCGCTCACGGCCACCACCGGTGACGATTATTTGAACCGGTCCTGGGCCTCCCCTAGGTCGACTCAGCCTCAAAACGAGTAACTGCTGTGGCGTATGAACATCGCCACTGGGGAGACAAAGGCGGCCTAGCGTCGTGGATCCAAGACCCGGGCGAAGCCGGGTAGTAAAGCTAGTTACCTGTATAAAAGACACCTGGGAGCCAGAAATCTTTCTGATTGAGAGGGGGTCAAATACTTATTTCCCTCATTAAAATGCAAATCAATTTATAACATTTTTGACATGCGTTTTTCTGGATTTTGTTGTTGTTATTCTGTCTCTCACTGCTCAAATAAACCTAACATTAAAATTATAGACTGATAATTTCTTTGTCAGTGGGCAAACGTATAAAATCAGCAGGGGATCAAATACTATTTTCCCTCACTGTATGTATCTATCTCTATGGGTCACTATGAATTTCTATGGGCGCGATGTATCTCTTTGGGTCTCTTTTGACTCTATTCGTCTGTATGTATCTCTACGGGACTCGGTCACTATGTATTTCTTTGGGCATATATCTGTATGAGTACGTATCTGAGGTTTATTTTTAATCTCTAGAGTCTGTCGCTATGAGTCTCTGTGTCTCCGCGTATTTCAATGGGTCTCTATGTATTCCTGTCTCTTTGGGTTTTACTCTATAGTCCATAGTTTGAGTTGTATGGCCACAATCGCACTGCTTGGCTCGAATTTCATTTTCCATTCATTAAGGAGATGTGCACGCATCGGCCTCTTGTTGTTCTGATGCGGTTGACGGTTCCACAAGTGTATTTTTATAGATGTCAAAGCCAAGAGGTGCGATGTTTGGATCTCAAATTACGTGTTTATTGTGGACGTTACTTGTTGTCAGTGTGTAACTTCTCACTGCTAGACAAAGGCCTTTCTCCATTCCCTTGCATTCCTTTCCCCGGTTGCTTCCTGGACAGTCGTGGCCTCCGAACTCCCATGATTTTGTCTCTCACTGTCATCTGCTCCACCGTCTTCCACTGCTTCTTTCACCTTCTCCGCATTCACGCTGTGGTTAACTCTGTCCATCTCTCAACTGTTCTCATCATGTGTCCTGCCTCTTTCCACCGTTACTAACGGTTCATTCGCCACTTTGAAACCATTATTTTAGAAACATTCTTAAAACTTAAATTCTGCCAGAGCCCCACCATGTATATTATTCATTGCAGGCTCCAACGATGATTCACTCCAACTCTCTGGCCTCCCCATCTCTCTTCCTTGTACAAGGCTTACTGCCCAAAACAGCACCTCATATATCATGCTCCTGTTGAGGGCAGCGTTCTCAACGAATGTGTTGAGTTTTCATCATGGATAGAGCACCATTGACGATTACTCCCTAGGTTCGTTTCGCACTATCTGCAGCCCAGTCACCCAGGATGCAGCCCATATCGCTCGGTCTAAGGGCGCAAAGTAGGACTTTTCGAGCCTGGACAGTGACAGCATGTATGTAATGGGTTCAACTGAGTCGCAGACGTAGACTTGGAGGCACATTTATTCAGTTCCAACACACGGGGTATCCTTCCCCTTAATAGCATAACAACCTATGGTGGTGACCACCAGGCTAACTACACTAGTTACAACGTAACTGCTATTATGGACTGGGACCAACAGCTTCGGCCCGGGTCCACGTGTTGGAGACTCGTTGAACAGAGAACGTAGACGAAGGTTTCGTCCAGGATGACCAACAACCCCGGTCCCACTCGGGACCCGGCTTATATTCTTTGTGGCGTGGCCAGCTCCGCCCTTGGCCACTTCCACCTTCCAGAATCCTCGGGAAGGATTTGGTTCCCAATCACGTGACCACCCCGAGCCCCCTCTTTGGGCCCCTTTGTAGACTTAACTAGTCACGTGTCCTCCTGGGTCAACCAGTGTGCCATGGCCTCGAGTAACCTCATCCTTCAGCCAGCACCCACACACCCTGTCTTGTAGGGTCGGCACTGCATGCAAGCGGTGCCATCTAGCGCTATCATTCAGCGCTCACCGGGCCCCTCTAGGGCCGGTACTACACCCACACCACTGTGGTGTCCGCGATGTCGCTACACCTCACGCCGTGCCCCTCTAGGGCCAGGCACTGCACCCAGCATGTTGACATCCAGCGATGTCACTACACGAATATGCCCCGCGTCTGTGACCCCCACCTTCGTTCACGAAGCCACAGCAACCAGCAGGGTGAAGTTTGTTCAATTAGCCCCTGCGAGCCACATGGCATGGGGTGGACTTTTGTCCAGCGGTGGATTGGATAAAAAGATTCGAACGGACATCCCGTGGGTCTTGTTACACGAAAGTCACAATCGGCACCACTGGAGTAAAGTAAAAGCAAAGTTGAAGAGAATGACGCTTGATTGATTTGTGTTTTCAGGTGTAAATTTTTGCAACCAAAGGCCTCATCACTTCAAGGGGAATGGAGAGCTACAGCGAAATGGAACTGCAGCTATTTCTGGAAGAGTGCCACCCGGAAGAGACCGAAGCACATCACTCGTGGAGTAACGACTCCAGCGTGTCTGGTGAGCGGCGTTTTAATCAGTGAATTGCTCAACAACCTCCATGCCGCATCTCCTTGTGAAAGCCACTGAGTTCTCCGCCGTGTCTTCCAAGGTTTAGCTCCATGCGCAGGGAGTTTCTTCAGGAGTCGAATTGAACTGGTGGAATTGAATCTCAATATGGTTCTTGAAGAGTTTACTCCAGCAGATAATTTAATTCCCATTTAGAATCATTTTCATCAGATACAGAACCCGTTTATCATCCGATGCAGAACTGGATCAGACAAAACCTTAACGCAAACAATAAATATAAAAAATATATAATAGGCAATAGCCCTTCACAGCGCAAAAAGAGCCATTACCCAAAAAGTTGCATAATAAATATTGTATCTATTTTAAGGCCACACAGTGTTGCCATCTACACGGAATGGGCTGCATTATTGCCAATTATGCTCGTGCACCACTGCCAACGCAGCAGTAGCAGCTTCAAATAACCTTTAGTTGCAGATGGGACGAGGGTCCTGTACCGAATGAGACAATTTGTTCCCCGTTAGGCTGACAAACAAAATCCGTCTGCATTTCGCTCGGCATTTCCCTGACACCTCTCTTCGACGATGACGCCACACCTCCCGCGTTGCTTTCCATCGACGTCGCCATAGAGACCGGGAGTCCGGCCGCCACCGGAGAACTCTGGCGCAGGATTTTGAAGTGCAGACGGGTGTCCTCCTTCCTGCTGGACACCGTGGTTTACCTGTGCTACGTGGTGGTGCTGCTGGCCTTGACGTATGGCGCCAGCGGCGGCAGCACCCGGGAGGCCTTCCGTATGAAGGATTCCCTGGAGGTGTTTTCCATGACGGACGTGGACAAGGTCAGGCTGCGCTTTGTTGTTATTTTTCACAACATAATATATACTACAACAAAAACCAATCTGGCCCCTCCTGGGCCGTGCTGAACTGGCTCAGCAGGCCGAAAAACCCTCATGCTTGGACCAAGTGGGTGTCAGACCCATCAGGTTGTTATTTTGCAAATTTAATTATTATTTTAATGATTGAATAGTTTACCAAAATCAAATAATTACTGATTTCATGTAAAAACATCTCAAGAATTTAAATCCACTTTTAAGAGGTGGCCGGGTGGTTCCGAGGTCAGAGCACTGAGTTGGTGACGATGAGAACTGGGGTTCGAATTGGGTTTTAAGCTGCCCATATAGCGAGCCAAACAAATTAGTTGGTGATTCAGCTGCTGCTGCAGTGATGCACAAGCACAAATATCAAAACGTGTGTCAATAACACTATGGCCTTAAATAAAAAAGTAAACAATAGGCATTCTGTGCATTGCCCCTTCTCTATAGCACGCAAAGGCCAGAGAGGTCACCTCTCCCGTGAAGGGCCATTGCCCGAGAACGTTGACAAGTATAAACTCTTCAGTTTAACGGAGAGTTGACAAATGTTTTTCAAATGAAAACATGAGTTTTCACACTTTCTCAGGCCACTCTGCTGTGTTTTCCCAAAACAAACCAATATTTATGATGGGACTTGATGGATATGTCGTGAGTTGATATAAGCCCAGTTACCAAAACATTCGTTTTGCACTCCATTTGTCTAAGTTCCAGCTCTGAGAATAACAAAAATAGTTTTGCTGTCATATGATGAACATTACTTTCTGTATATTTTGGCTTTTTCGGTAAAGTCACGTAGATAAAAAAAATAATAAAAATATCACGACGTTTCGATCGCAACACAAGCAATCGTCATCAGGATTGTGTTGCGATCGAAACGTCGTGATATTTGTCTTATTTTGTATTCACTTTATTTTCATTTTCATTATTTTGTTCGTTCTACATGACTTTACCGAAAGACTCAAACAATATGAATTCCTGCAGTCACAAAAGCTTTAAGTCAAGAATTACTTTATGTAGCAGGGCAGGTGGGGAAAGCGCTGCCCTCTAGTGCAGATAAGAGGTCACTTGAAGTAATTTCAGAGGTAGCTCTATGATATCTACTTCCATGAGCCATTCTCGAACACCGGGTATTCCACTACTTCCGTCATTATGCCAATATGACTAGGAAAAAATTGGGGACAGTAGTAAATTATCAAAAAATGTATATTACCATACAAACGGTATTGCAGCATAGTTATGCTATTGGACGTAATTTACTTGGGTTAGTCATCAGCCAGAGCCTATCCACTTCTGGATGGAGGCCTCCCCACCCCTCATGGTCCAGTGCTGCCATCATTTGACCCCTGCGCATAAACCAATCTCATCACTCCATCTCCACGGCGGTCAAACTCTTGGACGCATTCTATTCTGACCTCGGGCTCCCGTCTGTGCGGAGTTTTTTTATGTTCTGCCCGTTCTGCCTGGGTTTATTTATAGCTTCTCTGGTGTCCTCCGATAGTGAATCAAAAAGAACAATACGATCTAACCAGTCTTGGCCAATCATTCCAATGCTAAACACGTACTTACAAATCACAAAAGTGAGATCACTCACAACAGCAACATTTCCCCAAACCTAGCAGGGCCCTCCGGTGAGGCTTTCCTTGGTAAACAAGCGTAACAAATAAATAAATAATCGTTTCCGTCACCGGTGTTTTCCATCGGCCGTCATCACGTCGAGCGATGCGTCCTGACCAATTCCATTGTCGATATGACGTCTCCGACTTGTCTCGCAGTTCTTACTAAAAACACCAGGTGTTACCACTAGGGTCGGTGATGCTTCTGCTACTGCCACCACCTTGTATTACTGGGCTGACTCTCAGTTGAGGCTTGGCTCCCTCTCATCACTCCACCATTCCATTCACTCAGAGCTCACAATGCATCGAGTTCGGCTGCTGCATCTGCACACCCGCCCAGCGTGCTGTGACTCTCCTCATTCCCATGGCGACGGTTCTTTTATTCGCTCCATCCGGTTCACTTCGCCTCGCACTCCTCTCTCCGACCGTTCATCACATTTTTGGTGCAGTATTCTGGCTCCCTGCCCGACAGCGAGGTTGATTAATCTTGGGAATTTTAGCTTTTTTTGCATTATTTCTGCCTGCATTTCCGACGTGTTCCGATGTTGCCTGTTCCTCCATATGAATCACTTTGATGTTTTGGTTCTTTGCAAATGCACCAAGGATCTCCCTTGCAAGCTAGCAGGGTGCTGTGTACGCAGTCCTCCTCCCAACTCCCCCAGTCTACTCTATCCCCCCCTCCCTCCCCCCAATTGTCTGACTGGCTGCCCCGCCCATGCTGTTTACGCTGTCTAAGCTCTCCTCCCCCCCAACTCTCGTCCCCCGCCCACTCACTTTGGAAACCCTTATAAGCAGTTGCATTTGGAGGCTTTTCTCTCCGCCTGATGAAGACCGATCGAAACGTCGTGGGTTTTTAAAATTTTATTTTATTATTTTTATTTTTTATTTTATTTTCTATCAATGTGACTTTACCGAAAGAATCAAGAATATGGCTAAATAGGATTTTCCGTGTAAAAAATAAACATTGAATTGAAAGCATTGAACGAAACTCTGTTCGCTGATCCATGCGCTCCTATTAAAGTCTCCACGTGAAATGCTAAGCTCGCATCGGTCCATGCTTCCCTTTGCATCTTTCAGCTTTTGTTCCATTTCCTTTATCAGTGCCAATGTTTCTAATCCATGAGCCGCAGCTGGCAGTAGGCACCAATTGAAAAAGTTCTTCTACAGACACATCGGTGCGATCCTACCATTAGCTTTCCCAGGGAATTCTAGATTTGAAGCTTTCGTGACTGCAAGGATTCATATTCTTAGGTTTTTTCGGTAAAGTCACGTAGGTAAAAAAAATAAATTAATAAAAGTAAAATAAAAAATAGAATTAAGACATGTACATCGGGCCCTCAGGATGAACGGATACTCTGACCGCACCATCCGCCAAGCTGTTTCTCCCACCATACAGAAACAGCCACATGAAACTCCGATCAAAACTATCACGTTGCCATACATAGCAAGCATGGCCAAAAAGATCTCCAAAATTCTAAACAAACATAAGATCCAAGTCAGATCTGAAACACGGCAAAACTGATTCTTCCGCCGTTGCCGATCATTGCTACAACGCTGTGGGCTCTCATGAAATTGTCTTTTCCGAGACCAAGGTGCTCTGCAAACCTCCTGGCTACCATCAAAGGTTTGTACACGAAGCCATCCAAATATACAAACACAGACATAATTTCAACCGTGATGATGGGTACAAACTTAGTAATCATTGGAAAGATGTTATTAACTATGCAAAAAAGATTTAACTACATATATTTGGACCATCTTATTTGACAGGCACTATTCTTCAGTTACCGTATAGTTTATTCTTTTTTCACACATTGGTTTTCCTACTTTAAGTTTTACCACACATATTTGGCAAATCTAGAATTAATCCCAGCAACGTAGCAAAGTTCTGTTTCATCTACATAACAAAAGGCTCAGTCCCATTTACACGCACCTTTACATCAGCCGCACCTTAACAACTCTTGGAACCTCCGAGTTCAACCAGTCTACACAACAAAGGCTCATTCCTAGCAGCGTGCTTCAGCCGCACCGAACCTCACAATAATATCCAGGGGCCTACCTTGGCTCCTCCCACCCTTAACCAGTATATATACAAGGACTGTTTTCTTGGAATTTCTCTTACTTGATACCGCTATCGTGCTGTGACGGTTCCACCTGAAGACGGAAGCTTGTGTTGCCTCCGAAACGTCGTGATTTTTATTTTATTTTACTTTTATTAATTTACATTTTTTTTACCTACGTGACTTTACCGAAAAAAACTAAGAATACTTTCCCAGGGAACTCCATCCTGTGCCCATGAGTGTCACTCAAATCCATCTCCCGTTTTGCATGAATGTGGCAAGAGCTCGGGGTGCTCCTACGGTGGGCAGGGAGTCACACCTCACTCATGTTGAGAGGCTGCAACCTGTAGAAGTCCCCGGCGGATTGCCGTGATGCTACCGAAATCAGGACTGCGGATCGTGAGAATTGCCCAGCAATGATGACCACAAATTCCTCATCGGCCGTGAAAACGTCACCTCGCTTGTGGCCCCTCTGCAAGCAACGACATGTCGTTGTCTTGGGAAAACAAGCGTAGTAATAACAGGGCTCAGGGTTTACGGATAGGGTCTTGGGTTAGGCTAATGGGTCGAGGTTAGGCTTAGGCACAGTGGTACCTAAAACTTCATTTCTTGCCATCGATCGGAGCGGACAGTAGCATCAACCAGGTTTAGCGCGCACACACACACACAGGTTTAGCGCACACACAGGTTTAGCGCACACACACACGCAGATTTAGCACGAACACACAGGTTTAGCACACACACACAGGTTTAGCACACACACACACAGGTTTAGCACACATACACACACACAGGTTTAGCACACACACACACAGGTTTAGCGCACACACACGTTTAGCGCGCACACACACGTTTAGCGCGCACACACACGTTTAGCGCACACACACACATACAGGTCTAGCACACACACAAATGTCGGCGAAGCAGAGGGGATCTCTAGCACCACATGAGGCCATGCATGTGGTCTATGAACTCCTGGGCTCGGCTGCTCGAGTCCTCCTGCTGCTCCTCGCGGTGCTGCTGGAGGATGGCTTTGGCGATGCGTGCGCTGGCTGCCTGCCCGCCAGCGAGGTTCACGGCATGCGGACCCACCTACCGCCGGCACGGTATACAACGTTAACAGCATTCTCATCTGCTAAATAACCATGAATGATTTTACGGCCCTTAATGGAGGTCCACACCTGAGCCATCCAGTTGCATAAATTGGTTACCTGGAACAGAATCACTTATGTGTGGACGTCTCCACAATCGATTGCTCAAAGGAAGAGCCAGACTCGACTCTCAAGCGTCGATCATCTCACCGATTTGTAGCAATGCAGTTCACGTGCTGCGCGCGTGAACTCCTTGCTCTGCAACTAATCACTCAGTTGTGGACAAAGCAGTTGCAGGCCATAAAGAGCAATCATCACCCCCTTCCTGACAGACTAATACTCGATTGCAGACCAGGTGCTGAGGCACCTTGTGAAACGTAGGGACATCTGCTGCCACTGGGGGTGCCCTTTCAATTGTGTTGAAATGAGATGTGAAGTGCTATTGAGATGCCCTGGCATAAAGGAGGTCGCATTCTCATTATCGGTGGCCAAAAGGCTCAAGGGTCGCAGTAATGAGTCGGCACCACTGAGACCCTTTGGGTTTGAACGTGAGCTTTAGCCGCCCGTGATTGCAACAGTTTCTCAAGAGTAGCGAGTTGACGGTCTCAGTCCAGCAGATGCTTATTTTGCCAAAACTCCCAGCTCTGGCGAATTAAAAATTGGTTTTGTCCGTCACAATACAAATATTCGTATATAGCAAGGCATGCAAAACATTGTAGATAACAGCTCATAAGGGGAACGCAGATGTAGTTACGTGGTATCTAATTCCGTGGATCGTTCTGTAACAAAGAGGTGGCTGCACCGCTTTGCGCGAGTCCTAATTGGACACTCGAGGTGCGCCTATCCTGGCACAAGTGCCGCGGTAACGTTGCCGTAACTTAGTGGCAAACAGCGGTTGTTGTTGTATTGTCGCGTGCCAGGGTCTCACTTTGAGTGCCGCGTACTGCCCCATGAGGTAGAGCTCGCAGCCCGTCGCCCAGCGCAGGTCGTCGTCGATGGCTGGCCAGCCTTCCACGAGCTACACACAGCCGAGTGCACCACCGCGATCATGAACACAATGGGACTGTAACAAAGCTGCAGCATAATGCTGATGATGGATGCTATATGTTCAGAGGAGTGTACAGACAAGTAGACGCAGTGCTGGATCGGCAGCCCGAAGTGGCGAAACACTTTGGAACAATGCGGATGTCCAAAATAAACACTTAATTCGAGACCCAAATATCGCACCTCCTCAGTTTGACATTTCTTCTCGAAGACCCTGGTGGAACCACCAACCGCATGAGAATATCAACAGGTGGATGCACACATCTCCTTCATGAATAGAAAATTAAAGACAAGCCACAGTAGTGCGATTGTGGCATGCAACCCAAACTGTGGACCATATGGTAAACCACTGCAGTTTGTGCTCATTCAATGGGGGAGGAACAGCAAAGCTCTCGTGGTGGCCAGCAGACATCTGCATTTAGCTTCTAAACACACTGCTGCCATCGTGCGCACGAATACAATCGACTGCAGCATGGTCGGACTCTGGTCTGCAATTGAAGCCCCATTCACTACGAGGATGCTGCTAACTTCCATGACAAGCGGGGTCGGTATCGGCCATTCACCGGCACAGGGAAGTGGCGAAGCACGTTAGCGAGGAGCGGATCTTGCGCGACATCGAGCTTGCATCCCGTTGCGAGCCAGATGCGGTCTCCACTCCAAGTCTCTTTGCCCGTGCTCAGCACCACACGCCACCGCTGCTCCTTGTAGGACCATGACGCAAACTCCACCTGCCAGTGACACACGACCCTCCCGGCCGCCATCGTCAAACCTCACAGACGAAGTGAGGTTCGGTCTGGTAACTGACTCGGATCGGTGTAAGTTGTAGCCAAAAGGTGCAGCCCTGAAGCATTTTCTTACGCCCTTGCTGATGGAAGGGCCTCTGCTAGAGAGAGCTCGAGATGGAATTTTTGGTCTACTTTTCCATGCTGGTCAGATGTCTTGGAAGAGTTGGGGGTACCCACTTTCCCCCACCACACACAATGCTGATTGATGTGTAATTATGTGTGTCTCTACTTGATTCTGTCTCGATGTGAATGTCTGGGCATGCAAGTCACTGTGTTCCATGCATTTTATAGTTGTCCAAGTAAGTCTACGAGTCTCTTTGTGAATCTTTGGATATCTATATTTACCTCTAAGACTCTACGTAAGTTAAGGGTAGAGATGACGGTGCAGCGGTGCAGCGGTGCAATGTCCTACTCGTGCCACTGCTGGTGGAAAAGTCTTCACTTGAGGCAGCTCTTGAGCACTCCCTCCATAGGCTACTTAATATCATCTTCCACTCTCGCCAGATGCCTTGGATGTAAAACCCACAATTTACCTCACCACGTGACCTGACAATCAACTGTGGTGCACGCATTTGTACTGCTGCGATGGGAGATCGTACCCACGACACCACTGTTTCAGTGTCCAGTATGGCAAGTCCTCGCTTCACGCGTGGTGTTGACGGTGTAACGCGTGGTGCATACCTGTCAACCCCTTATCAGTGCCTACTTTATTACAGACCAATTCAGACCTTATTGGTCACCCTGTACCTTCATAAATCGCAATGTTCATCCTACAAAGTCCCATCACAAGGGAGAAACAAAAACACATTTTTTTTGCCCGTATTGAAATGGCTGTATGCCGTATGGGCCTCAATACTCAAGTTCCCTGTACAAGAATAGGGGTAAACCATATTGGTTGACAGGTATGGTGATGTTCACGCCGCAACGCGTGGCGTTCACACCGCAACGCGTGGCGTTCACATCGTCACACGTGGCGTTCACACCATAATGTGTTTTCGCGACAACACGGTTCTTCGAGAACAGAACCCTTTTCATACAATGCCCCTCGTTACAACGTGGTTTCTGAGCGCTTGACGACAAACTACTTTCTTGATCTGCGCGGCTGCGCGGCTGAGCGGTACGTTACAGTTTGCGGAATGATACAGTAACGTGGCGGCGTACCCTCAGTTATCTTACTGCATGTGCATACATCGTATCTTGTCAAACTATCGTTACATTACTTATGGGGTAATTGTTTGTGTTTGATAAGTTTGCTTAATACAGAACTTTTCAGAAACACATCTATTCCCGTTAAACGAGGACTTACTTTACTTAGATGGATGAAGATTTAAGAATTAAACCTAGCATTCAATCTAGGCTGTTTTTCCTTCTGTAGTGTGTCAATTCAGAGACATTAATAATAGGAGGTATACACGTTAATTTTACACTTCCCACAGTATAGAGAATAACTATATACGGGTCAGAAAAGCCGGCACGCTGCCTGACCCAACACCGACGAGGAGGTGAAGACTTGTGAAGACGACGGGTTCCATTCCCAAACTGCAGCAGCCTCGAACCACAATCGGGGCCTCCCTTTTATCCTCCCCAGCGTGGCCTGGCTCCGCTCTCGGCCACGCCCCCTTCTGGAACCCACCAGAAGGCTCTGGCTCTGCCCCACATTCCCTATGTCACCTTTACCCTACATCCGTGCCTATCACGTGACCTACTGGCAGACCGGCCACTGTATCCTTAAATGCCCTTCACTGCCAGCAACCGGCGCGACGTGCTCCAGTGGCACACTTCACCTGCCCTGCTGGTAGACCGGGCTATTACATTTATTTTACCAGGTAAGGCCCAGTTAGCGACATATCTATTTTTCAGAAGCGACCTGGCCACAAATGATAGCTCAACGAAGCGGCTTATAATGTGTAGCAGCTAAATACTAAGTGCATGTTGTTCAATGTGAAAGGAAAAACCAGAGGACCCAGAGAAAAATCCATGCGACCAAGATGTCAGGGTCGGGTCGAACCCACGACCTCATTCATACCAGGCAAGGTAGTTAACACCTCGGAATCATGCCGCCACTTCACCTTTCCGGACAGTGGTGGTTCGTGAAGGGTCATACCCAGGAGTGCTTTAGCTATCACCCGCACACCGATGTTAGCAATGGCCGGGAAACAAACTTAGGTTGGCGCTGGGTTCACAACTCAGTGCGCTAACCACTGTCACCGCTTTATCTAAAACATGAGCATAATATGTGTATTTTTAAAATAAAAAAACACTAATATGGAGCTGGGCAAAAAATCAGATAACTGCCAAGCTAAATCAACAAAGGAATAGAGATCGAGACCGTGGAAGCCCGATGCTTAAGTACCCGGTTTCATCACGGGCAGCTGATTTCAATAATCAAACCAAAGATTCAATGGTGCCAGCTCGGCTCTCTGACATCTAAACCACCGGTCTCGATAAGGATCAATGTTACTCGACGGATTGATGGTTTGCTACAAGCCCAGTATAACAGCCACATGGATGCACTTGGCAGTGTCAACTGAAGCCAGGACTCTCTCGATGAAACCATCAATTGTGTTTTTCTTGTCATTTCCTCCCCAATTTTATCATGATTATGCCATAGGCTCTAGCACAGCAGTGCTGGCCCGCTGTGTTAGAGAACAGCACAGGGCAGCAATAATAATTTACATTTGTAACGGCGGCACGAGGAACCAGACAAGCAGGAAGGCAGTCAAGCTGTGAGCCGGCGCCAAGCTCTGCTGCTAAGACCGCATATCCTCCACATACTAAGGTAAAACATAATTAGTGTTTACATGTGGGAAGAAACCAAAGCACCCGGAGAGAACCCACGCATGCCAGGGGAAAACACTCCATTCCATACAGATGGATCAGATGCAGTCCACATTTTGCTCTACGGCCTTCTCCTGGCGAGCCAGGCATTGACCCCTTGACGCCCATGGGAAGGGAGTTCTGCAACATTTGCGTGACACACCGACCCTCGTCTTCAGTGCCGGACTGCAGGCCACGTGCTTAGCCACAACCGCCCAGCTGGCGGACATCCCAGAGCTATCCCTGAGATAATTGCAAGTAGAGGCCGACCGAAACTGAATTTCTAGTTTTGGCCGAAACCGAAAGTAAACCGAAAGTTAAAAATTGACTTTCGGCCAAAACCGAAACAATGCCGAACGAGGCCATTTGCCAACTTTCGGCGCCGAAACCGAAACCGAATTTCGGTCGGCCTCTAATTGTAAGTGACCTCTGGGGCAGCACTTTCCTATGTTGCACGACAGTCAAACCAATATTGCAATTTTCAGACCTGTAGTTCACCAAGTTGACCAGAGAGACACATTTAATGTGAAGCGCCAATTCTACTTCACAAATCTATTAACAGTTACAATCCACGCGCAACTCCCACACCCACGCACCTGGCCATCAAAGCGTCGACTGTCACTGATTCATCGTGACGTACTTCTTTTACACCTTATGTAGCCAACTATGCTTATCAGAGGTTACAGCAAGACCCACATGCCCGGGCACGCACCTGGCAGTAAGCACGCAGTGAGACGATGCCCGCCTCAATGAGCGGGCGGATCTGCCCGTAGGCCTCGGGCGTGACCGCTCCGCCCTTGCGTGCCTGGCGGATCATGTCGAGGCGGCGGCGAGGGCCCCGCTCCGCATAGAACTGGCGCAGGAAGGGCAACCCGTCGAGACGCACGCCGTGCTCGCGGTGAGCATAGCGCCCCACCAGCGTCTCCACATCGCCCACGTCGAACTGCTTCACCTGCAAATATGGGGACAGGGAAGACGAGGGTAAGAGGCGTGTCCGATTTGACAGACGAACGGGAGACGAGGCCGCGACACAAATCACAGAAATGCAAAATCAGATCAATAAATGGATGCACATGTTTCTTAATACTGTACCGACAGAAAGTTCAACAGATGGGATTAGAGACACTGTACGGACTGTGCAGAAAAGCAGGCTTGCGCACGACATGCCACGAGAAGGGACAATGGCTGGTGGCCACACAGTAGCAGCCAAAGAAGGGAACATATCAGGGAAGATTTTCAACTTTTGAGATGGAGCGATTCTACTCTAGCCACAATCGCATAGCAGCGAATGAAATCTTACACAGGAAGATGATTGTGACTGAGCCTAATTCTGAAGATGGTCTACGTGGGCTAAAGTGCTGATATTTGGCAGAGATAAAATAAAGGTGTAGTTCTAGATTTGAAGCTTTCGTGACTGCAAGGATTCATATTCTTAGGTTTTTTCGGTAAAGTCACGTAGGTAAAACATTAAAATTAATAAAAGTAAAATAAAATAAAAAATAAAAATCACGACGTTTCGGAGGCAACACAAGCTTCCGTCTTCAGGTGGAACCGTCACAGCCACGACAGCTGTATCAAGTAAATGAGAGATTGTAGGAGCTACCACTCCGTTTATATAATGGTTAGAGGGGGGGGGGGAATGGCCAAGTAAAGCACACTTTTTATTCATATGGTAAGGTGAGGCTTAAGAGGGTGAGCCTTTGTTATGGAGAGGTACGGTTTGTGACTCAACCTGTGACAAGGAGACAACAACTAAACATGGTAAACCTGTAACAGTTGTCTGTCAAATAAGATTGGCCAAATAAGTGTAGTTAAATCTTTTTTGCATGGTTAATCACATCTTTCCAATGATTACTCAGCTTGTAACCATCATCACGGTTGAAATTATGTCGGTGTTTGTATATTTGTATGGCTTCGTGTACAAACCTTTGATGGTAGCACATAGGTACCCCTATGGGCTCCCCCTTGTCACCAGTTATAGCCAACATGTTCATGGAAAAGTTTGAATCAGACGCCATCCAGACATCCACCCTGCGTCCTTCCCTGTGGGAGAGGTATGTGGATGACACTTTCGTCATCTGGCCACATGGCCTCCCAGCATTGAACCACTTCTTGGACCACATAAATTCTAGACACCCAAGTGGGCAGGCTACGGACAACGGGACGCCGACACCACATCCGCAGACCTCTACGGACGCTGCTTCCCGCGCGCGGGAAACGCTGTCGCAACTCTCGCCGCCGTCCTACAGGCCGAGACGCCGCGTCTGTGGACCTCTACACATGCTGCTTCCCGCGTGCGGGAAACTACAGATGCGAGCGCTGCACGGGAGCCGCCAATTTTTCAAAAGCGCAGGAAGACGCTCCTACCAAACCGGACCTCTCGCCACCAGAGCTGATCCCCGCCGCCCGCGGGTTGAAGTCGAGACCCCCCATGTCCAGGAGTTCGCGGCGGTGGGTGGCGACTGGGAGTCGTTTCGCCGCCGCTTCATCGCAGCCTGCAAGCTCGCGGAGTAGACGGAGGAGGCGCTGCAGGCACTGCCCATGGCACTCGACGATGACGCGCTGGTGGCGTTCGATGCAATCCACGACACCGAAAAGGCAACCCTGACCCAAGCCCTGGCACAGATGGGGGCGATCTTTGCCCCACCGTCCACCAAGCGCCACAGATTTGCAACGCGTAGGCGAGGGGAGACTGAGGTGCCTCTCTCCTACCGCATCACACTCCAGGCGCTTGCGAAGTCGGCGTTTCCCGACATGGACAAGGTGGGGCAGGATTTCCTCATCTTGGAGAAACTACTGTCGCTGGCCCAGGAGCTTTAGGACGTCCTGCCCGCCATAGAGGACGACGACCCGACATCCCTCAAGATCGCTCGGTGCCTGGAGGCACATCTAAACATCCGGCGGCGTGCCAGCATTGTGGCGAGCACGGGACCGTCCACGGAGGTGGGAGCAACCGCGGCCGAGCAGCACCTGCAGGCCGCTGTTGCTCGTCCCGCCACACAGTGGACGAGGGCCGAGGGAGACTGTCAGGTCGGGAGAGACGGCCCGATCCGGTGTTTCAAGTGCAACCTGCCGGGACATATCCGTGGGGTGCCGCGCTCCACAAGGAGGACCCTCCACATCGGCGCAATCGGCGGATCGTCGCTCCTTCACTTCGCTGGGTCCTCAGGAAAGTCGTGGTGCACTTAACACACAGCCCTCTATTGCACCTCACCCATCGGATTTGGAGTCGTGTGCCGGGGATTTTTGTCGGGGTTCGTCGCGTACTGATCGGGTCCTTGCGGGCGACGGTTGGACGCGGCGTCCCATGCAACTATCGGCCCTGGCACGCCGCATAATCGTTGCAGCGGCAGGATCATCGGCCATTATCGGGTCCGTCGTGGGGGTCGACGTGCGCATTCTGGTTGATACGGGTGCATCAGCAACTGTCATTTCGGAAGTTACTTTTGATAGCTTGCCGCCTAAATCGCGCACCATTTCGCCACCAACGGACAGTCCTTGGGGATTATTGGCCAATTATCAGCGACAGTATGTATTGGCGACATTCAATTGATGGGCCCGATCCTCGTTTTTAAACCCCTAGCCGTACCCTGCCTGCTCGGGAAGGATTTTCTCGGAAAAATGCCACTAAAAATCCTGGTGGATCAGGGATGCATAGAGTTACCATCTGGCCGCCGAATGGCATTTTTGTCATCGGCCACTCTATTTCGCACAGCGAACGCATCGGTCCTGGCTATGGCCAATCAATCTATTAAAATTCCCCCCGGTGCACAGATGCTCATCCCCTTACGCCTGAAAAAACAACTCAACCCCAATTCGATCATAGGGGGAATGATATTAGCCCCCTCTACCAAGGCGATCCGTGGCCATAATTTGCTGTACGCGCAGACGTTGGTGGCAGGCGATCAAAAACCCTTCATCCAAGTTTTGAATGTCGGTTCTGAGGCATCCGTGATACAAGAGGGCACCGTATTGGCTCACGCATCTTCCGCGTGTTATCAGGGGGAAAATTCTGGGACCATGGGTGTTGCTGCATCTGTGGGGCAGGGAGAAAATGCGCGCAAGAGTGAGGATGGGGATGAGTCGTGGTTGGACAAGCTCTGCGTCGAGAGCAATGATTTATCTGTACCACAAACTCGAGTTACGCGCCCTTTTGAAGGAGTTCTCCGACGTTTTTAGCAAAACGAAATTCGATATTGGCTGCACGCCGCTTTTACACCACCACATCGATACGGGAGACTCCGCCCCCATTCGACAAAACCTGTATCGCTTGAGTCCTACGGAGAAGGACCATGTAGGCCACGCGGTGGGCGAGATGTTGGCCGCTGATATTATTTATCCGTCCAATAGTCTGTGGGGGGCGCCCATTGTGCTTGTTAAAAAGTAGGACGGGAGTTTGAGATTTTGCGTGGATTTCCGCAAACTCAACAAATTCTCCGTGGCTGATGCGTATCCGCTCCCATAGATGGACGACTCGTTGGATGCTTTGTCAGGGGCGCGATTCTTCTCCACATTGAATTTGCTGTCGGGATTTTGGCAGTTGCCCTTGGACGACAGCTCTAGACCAAATACTGTGTTCCGCACACACCAAGGGCTCTTTGAGTTTAACTGGCTCCCGATGGGATTACACTCAGCCACGCCACTTTTCAGCGCCTGATGGAATTGGTATTGGCGGACCTACAATGGGACGTGTGCTTGATTTAGCTCGATGACGTTATTGTCTTTGGACGTACATTTAAGGAGCACCTACAGAGGTTACGGGTAGTTTTTCTCAAAATGCGGGCAGCAAAACTTAATTTCAAACCACAGAAATGTCATCTTTTTCAAAGAGTGGTCTGATACCTAGGCCACATCGTTGGAAAATCCGGGATATCGACGGACCCAGACAAAACTGCGTGCGTGTGTACGTGGCCACGTGAAGTGCGTAGTTTTGTCGGGTTCACCTCATAATTATTGTCCCCGGGTTTGCCACGATTGCTAAGCCTCTCCATGTTCTCGCGGCCAAAGGACAGAACTTTCAGTGGGGAAAGGAGGAGGCTGCGTTTACCACGCTCCGAGACGGCCTGGTCAATGCGCCTCCACTGCGGTACCGATTTTTCTCTACCTTTCATCCTCGACACGGACACCAGCAACACGGGTATTGGCACTGTATTATCGCAGGTCATAGGAGGAGTCGAGTGTGTGGTTGCTTAAGGGAGCAGGGTGCTGTCTCCAGCAGAGCAGCGCTAATGCGTTACGCGCTGAGAGTTGCTGCCAATAGTTTACTTCGTCCAGCAAATACCATCCCTACCTCTATGGATGCAAATTCGAGGTGCGCTCCAATCTTGCGGCTCTGCAGTACGAGCTGCATGTTGAAAAACCGTCAGGTCAGCTTTCCCGTTGGCTTGACGTCCTTCAGGACTATGTATTCGTAGTTTCCTATAGGAAAGGCGTTCGGCACATAAACGCTGACGCACTGTCACGATTGCCACCCAGTGCACGTGCATTTCGGGCGCGGGACGATGCAAACCTGCTGGTACAGTACCGCCCCGGTCTGTCGTTGCTGCAGCTGACGCTGCACACATCAACATGGCTGATATGCGGGATCACATGCTCGGTCTCACCAACACCGAGTGGAGGTGACTCCAGGTGGAGGACGCCTCTCTACTCCCAATCAGACGCCGTGTTAAGGATTCCGAGGATGGTGGCAAACTGCGGGTCTTATCCTCGGTGATCCTCCGGGAGGGCCTACTCATGAAATGGGACAGGGAACTGCAAAAACACAATGTGGTCGTTCACACCATTTTGCGGGGCAAATTGACCTGGGTGACACACAAACGGTTGATGCACCTTGGGGTCCAAAGACCTTCGCCTCAACTTTTTCTGGCCCGGGATGGCAGGAGATGTGCAAAATATGTTGAGGGGATGTACTGAATGCGCTCGCCGAAAAATGGGTTGTCCCCCATTGCAATCGATTTCAGTGTCCCAGGTGAATGAGCTCGTCGCTCTCGACATGCTCGGTCCCTTTCCCACCACACCACGGGGAAATAAATATTTGTTGGTGGGTGTGGAATATCTGTCACGGTGGCCAAGGACCTGGCCGGTGCCGGATCAGTCGGCTGCGACCATCGCGGACGTTTTCCTCCACGGGTACATCTTGGATAAGGGAGCCCCGGAATGCCTTCTCACAGATCAGGGCCAAAATTTGTAATCTAAATTGCTCAAAGAAGTGTCTGACCGGTTGGGTACCAAGAAGGGCCGCACCTCGCCCGATCACCCGCAAACTGACGGCATGGTGGAACGCCTCAACAGGACCCTGACATCAATGTTATGTCAGCAGGTTAATGCGGAACACACCGACTGGGACCTGCACGTCCCTGGTGTTCTTGCTGCGTACCGGTTGGCCCCTCACGCTTCCACCGGGTTGGCTGGATATTATAAAGGGGGGGTAGTATAGTGTCGTTAATATAGCCACTACTGTAAGTACTTTCTACGCTCCGGAATTGCTACTAAGCGCCGGAAGCTGGAGGGACACGTCATGGTGAGCCAGGGACTCCTAATTGGCTGAAGTGTGGACGTGGCCCACCCGAGGGGGAGGCGACGGCCAGGGGATAAAGGGAGGGGGGGCCCGAGGGGGTTCGTGGCTCGTCTGGGGGATCGGTGCTGGGGTTCCAGGCTCTTCTTGCTCTGCTCTGGGGGCTTCGTTTTGGCATCGGGGATCAGCAGCGTGTGTGCTGGCTGACCCGTCCGTTGATGGCTAAACCGCTCTCACATAGCAATAGCATAGCAACACATAACTATAGAACCCGAGGCAGTTAGTGTTACCCCGTTGGGATTTATTAATAAAAGTGTTGCCTCCAAGTTTAGTGTGCGTGTGCCTCTGTACACACTACAAAGGTAAGAAAAGTATATGAAAGAAAAGTAGACTTAGGCATGACACATTGCAAGAAGGGCCGATGGTCAGAGACACAGCGTTGAGATCAGCTGGTTTGCAAGGAGCTAGAATGTTGCATGGCAGATCATGTGAGATGGTGGCAGTTCAGGGAGATCTTCTTTCAGCAGTGGATAGATCATGGCCGAAGACGTCCTATGAGCAGAACCCCTGCATATGTGGAGGGTGCAGTGCACACCTGCAGGTGTTTGCGCATGACCCAGGTGACGCTGCTGGCACCCGCCTCCACGGCCAGCAGGACCATGTGGGCACTACTGAGGCCTCCGCCCACCACCAGCACTTGCTCGTTCGGCTCGCTCACCACGTTCGCCACTGGGGTAGGGGGGAGGGAGGGGCCGCGTACAGCAGGGGTGCTCATCAGCAACAGTCTTCCACACGCAATACAAATATCCCCTGTTTAGCCTTCAACAGGCTGTCGGGAAAAATGCTATTAGCGAGCACATATTAACACACAAAGGGGTGGGTGGACAACACTACGCCCAGCCGCATTTGCCTCCCTGGTACTGATGTTTATACATAAGATTAGGTACTCATGTTTAAGGCTTAACTGACCTAGGGGTGGGCCAGGACCAGTTCATATACTCTACACTTTTATTGAACGTGAAAGGGAATCAAACTCGGGTCTCTGGGTTCATAGCGCAATGCCACTACTCCCCACTACGCAATGCACTCGCACATGCAAATAATATTCATAATATAATATAGCGGAGGCTCTTCCACCCTATGAATTGATTTCAATGGACTCGTCGCTCACGTTCTGCTCACCGGACCCGCCGGCGCGGCTGATGAACTCTGTGGTGTGGAGGAGCCGGTCCTCGGGAAATCGCTCCCCGATGGAGGACACCCAGTCTGGAACCACGGCCATGGCGGCACGTGTCGGGCCGGCCGCCAACACCACGTGGTGGGCGCGCACTGTTGAGCCGCCCTTCAGTGTCACGCGGAAGTAGTCGACGATGGGACCGCCTTTACCACCGCCGGCAGCACCGCCGGCAGCACCGCCGCCACCAGCAACACCAGCAGCAGCCAGGACAGGCAAGATCGCATCCACGGTGCCCGCCGTCACAGCGCCCGCCAGAGAGTAGTGCTCGATCTGGGAGGCAAGAGTGCGGCTAGCATGTGTTACCAACTGGCGGCGAAGTATGGTTAAACAACCAGCATGGTTGAAATATGCTCAAACAAGAAAACAACAGACGTGGTTGTAGTGTGGTAAATCAACCACTATGACGGGCCTGGCTTGACCAAGGCATACATTTAGCCATGGCTGGACAAAGGGCTGCCATATGTGTGGTGTACATGCAAAGGCCCTTTTGTCAATCCAGAGCTTCCAAATACCATGCGGGTCTCATGAGGGTTATTTCACCGAAACGTCCCATGCTGATCAGTGTGGGCTGGTGAAGCCTGGGAAACATAGACATCAGGATACAGTATAGTATAGGAAACTCTTGAATATTGCGGGGGTTATGTTTTTTGAAAGTGCTGTGAAAGCCAAAACGGAGATGTTAAATATTTAAGCCTTACCTAAATAATGGGATTCGGTACAAGGCAATCAAAATTAAAACGCATCACAATTGAAACTAGTATTGTACTGTATTGCAAAAAAACTAAATAATTTTAATGAACATGTAAAAACCCTATAAAAAATATTCCCAGACAATAGTAGTATAACTACAGAATAAATACTATACTCACTGATGATGATCCAAAACGGGTGTTTGTCCGTGACGGTTAGCATACTGCGCTACGAACCCGGCGACCCGAGTTCGATCCCTCTCACTACCAACCACCAGTGAAGATTATCTGAACCGGTTTGGGGCCTTCCCTAGGTCTACTCAACCTTAAACGACCACCTTGGGGAGACAAAGGCGGCCGGGCGTGGTGCTGGCCCTCCATTCCCTCGTTTGCCACGCCGGCCTTCATAGGTGCTCGCTAACAGCACTTTCCCCAACAGTCGGGTTAGGTTATATGGGGGATGTCTTTTTGTCCGCAAGATGCTTGCATAGCAATGATTGAGGTGCGACTGGCTGCCTCACGTCCCTTGGCCACCCCGCACCACGGTACCAGCCACGCAGTACTGTCACATGAGAAGCTTCTCAAGTGACGGTGCTTTTCGAGTGACGGTGCTGTGTGGCTGGTATCACTGGAGAAGCTTCGAGTGATACTTCCGTGTATACCCGTGAAAGTCAAAACTAACTTCTGCGATAACTAAATTGGTATACATAGAGGTTGCACAATAAAACCGCGAACAATAAACCCGCAAAGGCCAAGGGTTTGCTGTACCATGGATTTTGCTGCGTGTGAAAACGCAGTGGCCCATAGTGTAATAAAGGACTCTTAGGCGATGTTGGTCTCCGTCTGTCCTTTATTGGGTTCTTGTCTCGCACCCCGCGATGTCCCCGATCGGACCCGCACCTCTTCCGTCGCGTGCTCCCCCGCAAGCCGTTCGAGTCCTCCGCTCTCTCTGCAGCCACACCGCTGCCCGTGTGCCCCGCACACTCTGCAGCCACACCGCTGCCCGTGTGACCCGCACACTCTGCAGCCACCCCGCTGCTCCGTGTGACTCCGCACACTCTGCAGCCACACCGCTGCCCGTGTGCCCCGCACACTCTGCAGCCACCCCGCTGCTCCGTGTGACTCCGCACACTCTGCAGCCACTCCGCTGCTCCGTGTGCCCCGCACACTCTGCAGCCACTCCGCTGCTCCACGTACACCGCTGGCCGACGGTGCCGTGACTCCGACCACGTGGCAATTCGTGCCACTCCTCTGCCAGCACCCCGCGTGGCTTCTCCTATCTTCACTCTCTCTCGACTCCCGATCCCCTTCCAGTTCTCACCCTATATCCTCCTCCTCACGTGACCCTGACTCCTCCTCCTCACGTGACCCTGACTCCGCCCCCACTCACCCCGACGACCAGGCTCCACCTCCCCTAATACTCCGGCCCGTGTGAGTGGTGCGGAGGCAGCGCCCACCCTTTCCTTGCTCGCATAACAATAGCACCTATTACATGTGTAATGACTCTCGGACAACACGAACTGTTGCCTCCGAAACGTCGTGATTTTTATTTTATTTTACTTTTATTAATTTTAATGTTTTACCTACGTGACTTTACCGAAAACACCAAAGAATATGAATCCTTTCAGTCACGAAAGCTTCAAATCTAGAACGAACTGTAGAGATTTCTTCATTTATTATTTAGGGCGCGTCACGCAGATAACTTGGGCCAGGGATGGCACACAAGTGGCGATGGCGTGAAGACAGCGACGACCCGAGGACAGCGACGGCATGAACAGTCAGCACCGATCATATGGCAGCCCCGAACCTTGCCTCTCGCCTAGTTTTATTCCTGGCATGGCCCTCAACCCGCCCCCGGCCTCGCCGACTTTCTCGAATTCTCTAGCTCATTCCTGAACTTTCCAGATGGATCCGCCTCCGTAATTACCCCTCGTGACCACTGGGCCATGAACTGTTTCCTGCACCCGCACTGTCTCCACATCACCCCCCCCCCCCGCCCCGCCTCGAGAAAATCAGCCGTTTCGGCTCATATTGACAATGTACCGCATCAGGGCCGAAAAACTGCATAAAGAAATAAATAAATGCAAAAAACCAGCGTCCGATGAACATTAGGGCAGACGAACTGCATAAATCCGCTTTAGCGGAATCGTAAACACTTTGACCGGGTCCTTGACGCTGGGTGGATTTCTGTGCCTCTCCGGGCAATGCACAAAAGCCTTGAAGAGGAAGGCTCATCCCCTGGACTCTTCGGAGGAATTTGACCGGGCTCCAGCCAGCGGTCCATCGTACGTGGCGGCTTCTTGAGGTTCCCCGGACTTCAAGGACTTGGAAACTGTGGGCGGCACAATGCATTTTTCCTGAGGCACCATTTCCTTCGCAGATTGCTCCGGCTCATCGGATACACCAGACATCGGCCGCACAGGGCTTGGGGGTGAGCTGTCTATAGGGGGATGAACATATGGTTTCAGGCGTGATGGGTGAACGAACCAACAGTGGCGTCCCGCCAAAAATTTTCACACACTGTGGCCTCCTGACTTACACCACCTCGACGGGACCTTGCCATGGCCGATGTAACTTGGGGAACGTACCCAGCGGCACCTGTGGGAAATACAACCAGGCCCTGTCCCCGATTGCCCATGGAAGCACGTGCTCAAGCCGCCCCGCGTTCTTTTCGTTAGCAGCTTGCACCTTGGCAGTGTTTTCTCTGGCCGCTTCACGAGCTTCAGAGCTATGATCCAGCGTGACCTGCAGGGGAACGGGCATGGCTGCTCTTTTCCTCCCCAAGGCAATACCCAATTGTGCCTCAATGGGGGGTTTGTTTTCCTTCCTGTAGATGAGGAAAAACAGGGAGAATCCCATGGAGGCATGTGGGGCCATCTTGTACGCTGTCAAGACTCCCGCAACGTGCAAATCCCAATCTGTCTGCATCTCATTAACTGCCTGACAGAGCATCGATGTTAAGGTTCTGTGCAGGCGTTCCACCATACCATCTGTTTGGGGATGGTATGACGACGTTCTAATCTTCTTAAACCCAGCACTTCGCACACTTAGCGGAGCAGCTTGGACGAGAAATTCCGATCCTGATCCGTGAGAAGCTGCTCGGGGGCCCCCTTTTATCCATCATGTAGCAGTACAAAAATGCATCGGCTATGGATGCAGCCGTTTGGTCGGGCAATGGTCAAGCCATTGGTCACTGGGAAAAATACTCAACCCCGACTAGGAGAAATTTATTCCCCTTTTGCGAAGCCGGAAAGGGCCCCAGGATGTCAAGCGCAATCAATTCATAAATTTGGGACACCGTGATGGACTGTTTCGATGGCAGCTTGCGGCACGCACAATCAGTGCAACCTTTGATAAAAATAGAAGACATCGTTTGACATTCCCGGCCAATAAAAGTCTCGCTGAAAGGTTAACAAAGTTTTCCGATGCCTGTGGTGCATCAACTTATTTTCGTGCACTGCCCGTGTTAATTTACCTCGCAGGGAGGTGGGGACCATAATGCCTAGATGTTGTAAAACCTCCTGCCACCTCATCAGCAGGCCTTCCTGAAGGACGAACTGGGAGACTCCCTTAGGCCCGGGGTTCATGTGGTCAGTTTCTACACGGCGTCGCAAGTTCAACATGGAGACATCCTCCATCTGTAGCTGTCCCCATTCAGTATGTGTGAGGCCTAACGTGTTGTGTCCACCCCGGCTGGTGGCGGGTCACTCAAAGCCGCTACAAGCCCCGGTACTTAAACTGCAGGCTGTTTACACCGGCATGCGCCCGACGAGCATGCGCAACGTCTGTTCAGCAGCAAGCAAGATAATGCATTGGCATTAGAGTGCCTCACACCCTTGCGGTAAATTACTCGAAATGAATACTTTTGGGTGTACTTCTAACCAGCGTGAGAACTGGCCAAAAGGCTGGTCCACGCTCAGAGAGTCCTGGAGGGCCACATGGTCCGTGCGGACGACAAAGACTCTGCCATAAAGATAAGGCCTGTTGGATGAAGTACACTATGGCCAACAGGTCCCTGTGGGTAACAAAGTACCGCTGCTCAGCGGTTGACAGGATACGACTTCTGTATGCGATCACCCTTTCCACCCCATTCTTCACCTGGGACACGACAGCCTCTATGTCCATCTCACTAGCATCAGTGCCCAGTATACACGGCAGGGAAAAATACGAATAGTCAAGAGGATGCGCGTTGTAAAGGCGATCTTGCAGTGCAGCGTACGCGGCCTCCTCCTCCTGGCCCCATTTAAACTTCTGGTTTTTACCCGTCAAGGCATGTAAGAGTTTTGCAACCATCGCAAACTGCGGAACAAACCTTCGGTAGTACGGCGCAAACCCGACGAAACTGCGTACTTCACCAACCGACTTGGGGGTTGGCAAATCGCATACGCACGCTGTTTTGTCTGGATCCGTAGCTATTCATTTAGCACTAACAATGTGGCCCAAATATCACACTGAGGTTTGTGGCAAATGGAATTCAGCGGGTTTCAATTTGAGATTAGTCCACCGTACCCTGGAGAACACTGCCCGCAACCTCTGCAAATACTCCTCAAATGTGCGGCCAAACACGATATCATCTAAGTAAATGAGGCAGGAGTCCCACTGGAGTCCTGCCAGGACCAACTATAAGTCGTTGGAAAGTGGCCGGAACGCTGTTTTTCGGTTTGGATAACTCATCCAGGGTCTAACGTGGAAAAGAACCAAGCGCCCGACAATGCGTCCAGGAAATCGTCTATACGTGGCAGCGGGTAAGCGTCTGCCGAGACTTTGTTTAATTTACGGAAGTCAATGCAAACTGTAAGTTTCCATCCTGTTTCTTGACCAACACCACAGGGGCTCCCCAATGGCTGGTTAACGGTGAAATTATATCCGCTGCCAACATTTCCTCCACCGCCTGCTCTACATGTTCCTTTTCGACAGGACTCAACCGATGAGTTCTGCCGAATAGGAGCTGTGTCACCCGTATCGATGTGGTGTTGCAGCAAAGAAGTACGCCCAATATCAAATTATCCTTGACTAAATGTCAGAAACCTCCCTTAGCAACAATTGCAGTTCATTCCGTTGCGCCTGGGATAAATTTGGGTTCTCCTCACACAATTTATCCGCCCATGTCCCATCCGACTCAGCTCTTAGTTGCACCGCGTCTATGACAACCCCCGCGTCAGAGTCGACAACCTCACAACATGCCGATATCACATGAGCCAACACCATACCCACCTGGACCACAGCTGTTCCCAGACCTACATTCAGGACCTGTAAAAATGGTTCCTGATTCACCCTAAGGGCTGTCTGTGTCCCCACTAGTGCGAGCCCACGGGTCGCTGTGTTAGATGGTGTAAGGTGGACTCCCGCCTCGGGGTCAGTTAACTGAAGGCGTTTGCAGGAGCACAAGCAAACTAACATTTGCATACCTAGCGGAATCTCTATAGATTCCCTTGTCAAGGCCTGAACTGTAACGTTCGCCACAGTGTTGCTATACAGGGAATCCAAAAATAACAATCTTTGTCCCGACGGCATCTCGAAAGATTCTTCATTCGTCATAATCTTCCAAGGAATCCTGCTAAATAAATCGGTCCCCAAGAGGCAAGGCACCGCCAGCGTCTTCGAAATAAAAACGGACCCCGACATCTCAATTTTCCCCACACTTACGCATGACTCTCTGCCCCACAATGCCCATCCTCCCCGTTAGCCACAACACACGCAAGCCGTATTGGCATAACGCAACGATTCCTTAAGGGCAACAAATTATAAATGACGTCCAAGATAATAGTAGCCAAGGACCGTTTGTCAATCAAGACAAGTACCTCTACAACCCTGGATGGAACAAACTCCTGCTGACGAACCTGCCGCGGCTGCTATCACTCGGCATGCCAATTTCCTCCACTGTGCTAGAATTTGGCCACCCATCTGTGGTCTGAACCCACTGTTCGCGCTCCCCAACCGGGGGGGTGGGGGGGGTGGGAATGACAGAAGGAATGCGTGAAGGCCTAGATGCGCGAGGTGGTGGTGGTTGGGCCGAGCGTCCAGTGTGTCGCGACTTGCCTGTTGGGGATGGGAAGTGGTCGTCGGCGGGATGGGGGATGTCGGCGAGGTTGTCGATGGCTGGGCGTCGTCCTGGCGTCCCTGCACAATGTGTCCCGGCTGTCCACACCGGAAACAGGAGATGGAGGGTCCGTGTGGTGGAGGGGTCGCCTCTCCCCTTGGACCTCAACCTCAAGGCCGTCACGAGATGTCCCCTCGATGTCGAGGCCACCCTTGCACCGCTGCCATCTCCCTCCCGAGCTCTGGACCCTCTTCCGCCGGCCTTGCGTCGCTCCTTTTTGACCGGGTGGCCTAAGTGTCGCCTGACTCGGGCTCATCTGACCACGTCATTACCTGGGTCCACCTGTTCATGTTCTCGTGGGCCTGCAGGCATCTGGCCACCCACATGGACATCTGTGTCTCCTCCTCTACGACGGGCAGCACGATCCCCATCTCTTGTGCTAGCACCAACAACTTTTCCATCGTCAGGGAGTCTATTGCCGCTTGATCCATTCGTGAGCACGCTGCCTGCCCAAGCGCCATCAGTGCACTGCGGTAAGCGAGGGGCGTCTCGGCCTCCTCTCACCTCCGCTGTAGGAACTTCCTCTGCGCGTTGGATGGAGGATCAAAGACGGCCAACATCTCTCCGTACGGTTGTTGAAGAGTGGCCCGTTTTTCTGCTGGCATGGTTCAAAACGCTGAGAGAGCATCATCATCGAGAGCCGTCGGCAAGGCCCGCAGAGCATCGTCTTCTGTCCATGCGACGGACAGGTATGCCGCCTCAAATCGGATGAAGGCGACCCAATCGCCCCCCGCTGCCACGAACTCCCTGATGGGAGGCAACCACCTTGGCCGGTCTGCTGCTCATCCTCTCCTTCGTCCGAGGTCAATGCAGATGGGTTTTTCTTTCTTGAATATCTTGACATACTTCTGACACCAGTTGTAATGACTCTCGGACAACACGAACTGTAGAGGTTTCTTTATTTCTTATTTAGGGCGCTTCACGCAGGTAACTTGGTCAGAGATGATGCGTATATAACTTGGCCAGGGATGACGCACAGATAACTTGGGCCAGATATGACGCACAGATAACTTGGGCCAGGGATGGCACGTAAGTGGCGATGGTATGAAGACAGGGACAACACGAAGACAGCAATGGAGTGAAGACAGTGATGGCGTGAAGACAGTCAACCCCAATCCCATGGTAGCCCTTCACTCCACCCCCGGCCACGCCCCCTTTCTCGAAATCTCAAGCCCATTCCCGAACTTCCCAGATGGTTCCCCCTCCGTAATTACCCCTCATGACCACTGGGCCACGTACTGTTCCTGCACCCGCACTGTCTCCACCCACGCACTGTCTCTATACATGGATGGTGATCACCCAATAAAGCACGGTCCAGATTCCAAATCCTGTTTAGCTTCCTAGGTATTACCGGTTGCGTTGTGGTCATCGGCATTAATGCTTATTTGTTACCTTACCAATGCGAAGCACAAGACATTTCATTCGTGTCAACCAAACCTGATAAATCAATGGCATGCTCCCCTGATGTGGCAGGCCGGGACACCAGCTGTGTTGCTCCAACTGTGGAATTCCTGGCTGGCCTGTGTGAGGGGCATCTGTTCTTTCAAGCATTCACCACGCACCACTGCGGGCATCTTCAGAAGTGGATTAATCTCACCTGGTCTCTGCCCTTCAAAGGGGTCTGTTTTTCTTAATGGTCGTTTGTCCAGACAACATATTGTTGCATCCTTTATTTGGCCAGGAGATAAAATAAACCCCAATGAGATGAGTATAACAGCAATGCCTAACTTACAAGTGCAACCAAATAAGACATACAATGCTGGACCAGTGGTAAAGTGCTTAACACGCTGTCTTATGTTGCCTGGTGAAGGCTGACATCATATTCTTGGTTCGTTCGGTAAAGTCACATAGATAGAAAAATAATAATACAAATAAAGTGAATACAAAATAAAATTAATAAATACTAATGTAGACTGTGGCTTGGTTCTTAAGTATGGTGAGTGTACTGGCAGTCTATAATGTAGACTGTAGCAATGGTTATTAAGCTGGGTGAGTATACTGGCAGTCTATAATGTAGACTATAGCCTGGTTTTAAGCTAGTGAGCATATTGGCAGTCTATAATTTCGACTGTAGCAATGGTTATTAAACCGAGTTAGCGCTATGGCAGTCTATGTCGACTTATTCTGGTTCTTTCGGTAATACAAATAAAATAAATTCAATAAAAACAACAAACCATGACGTTTCGATCGCAACACAAGCGGCCGTCATCAGGAAAAGAGGGGTTTCGCCTCTAAAGGAAAACTGTTTATAAAGGTTTAGAGATGGGCGTAACCAAAGTGTGTCAGCAGCATGGGCGGGGCAGCTGTTAATGTAGGAGAAAACAACGGATCCTGCGGCAGGTCTCCATCAATCAAAGGGCCGCCAGGCAATCATTGTACCTCGCTTATTTTTATATTATTTGTATTACCGAAAGAACCAGAATAAGTCTACATTATAGACTGGCATAGCGCTCACTCAGTTTCATAACCATTGCTACAGTCTACAATATAGACTGCCAATACGCTCACTAGCTTAAAAATCAGACTTCAGTCTATATTATAGACTGCCAATACGCTCACCGAGGTTATGAACCAGGCTACAGTCTTCATTATAGACTGCCAGTACACTCACCATACTTAATAACCAGGCTACAGTCGACATTATAGACTGCCAGTACACATACTCCGATTAAGAACCAAGCTACAGTTTACATTAGTGTTTATTTTATTTTTTTAAATAACTTTAAAAAAAAAAAATTTCCATCTACGTGACTTTACCGAAAGAACCAAGAATATGAATTCCTGCAGTCACGAAAGTTATAAGTCAAAATTTAAGGCTGACATCAGTTGAGTAATATCAGAACCGGTCTGGCACTCTGCCCGATTCCCCAATGTTCATCGACTAATATGGTGAAGTGTTATCAAAACACCCTCATAACCGACATCGCATTGGGAGACCTTTCATCTATTGCTGGACTGAGAATGCCTGAAGTGTATATTTAATTTCTAACGGCGAAGACCAGTTAAGTATGTGGCGAAATGGGGAGAGAACGCAGCAGGCTTGAGGATGTGGCCCAATCCGGGAGACCGCACCGCGTAGGCGTGAGCACCGATCCGGGAGACATTGTGTAGCCATGAGCACCGAACTGGGAGACCACATCGTGTAACCGCGACCACCGACGCAGACCGCGTGCGCCGCTCTCTGCACAAACCTGGTGCGTGAAGAAGTCGCGAACGAGCCGCGTGCTGGGCAGTGTGAAGTAGAGCTCGTTCTGCCTGGCGCAACCACCCGCCGACAGCAGCCGGCGCTCGCGCTTGCCCACGCGCCCGTCGTTGAAGAAGGCGTTCTCGTCCAGGATGTGGAGCCGCCGGGGCAGCGCTCGCAGCTCCTCCTCCCTGTGTCGCTGCGTCGCAAACACCTGCAGTGCTCGCTGGAGCCGGGGGGGGGGTGAGGGGGCGGCAGTGTGAGCGTGTCGGCCGTTTAACTCACAAGGCTCTGTGATTAGGGGAAAAGAATCGTCAAGATGCAATAATCACGATTGAATAACCTTGGCTGGCAACGCGCCGCCGCATAGCGTTCGCTCACTCTTAGAGACGATGACTCATGAGGCGCTGGGGACCACAGACAAGCGGGTAGGCAGCAGCCACACATTGAGCTGGTGCCAACAATTGCCTGAGCTCTCTGTGGTCCTCTATAGCCAGGGGAAAGCACTTTGACACCCACAGGGAGTTTCTCAACATGTGTGATCCAACAACCCTCGCTGTCTCCACAGTGCTGAATTACAGTTGTGTAGAGCCACCGCAGCCCAGTGGCCAGGTGGCTCAAGAGATTGGAGGTGAGGTGGCACCAGTGAGATCCAGGGTTCAAAGTCAGGCATCCGCCCGTGATTAAACCAGACTCAAGTAACTTATATACAGACTCAGACTCACATGGAGACTCTCACATAGAGCCCTACATACTCCTAAATACTAAGTTATTAAACCGAGTTCTCAAGTGTAGCGAGTTTATTATCTTAGCTCAGTCGCCAATGACTGCACAAGGAATTGTTTTCGAATGAGGGGAAGGTAGAAATCCGAAAACATATGGCATAGTTAGCTACGTGCGTAAGAAGTTCAACGTACATATATATGGCCAACGGTCACAAGAGGCCTACTACTCTAAAGCGGCCCAATAACTGTTATCCTTCCATTGCTGCAAGCATCTTAGCCACACCAATCGGGTGCTAGAGGAGAAAATGTTTGACCTGGCAACAATGCCGTGTTTAATCTATCACAATGTAGAGACATAAAGAGGTCTCTGCGTTGTTGTGCCAGCCACAGTTCTGGAAGAGCTCTGAGCGCCGGGAGCCTCCATTGGATGATTGAAGGACACGTGACCGGGAGTGGGGAGCCCCTTTCTTGATACAGCAGGGGGCGTGGCAGAGGGCAGGGCGAGGCAGCGGCCAAGGGATAAAGGGGGAGCGCCGAGGGGATTCGGGGCTCATTTTCTGATCAACTCAAGGGGTCGCTGCTCTTCGGTCTTCGTGCTTCGCTTGTCGTTCGCCGTAGAGTCTTAGCTGGGGATTGAGGGTCAGGCAGCATATATGCTGGCTGGCCCGTTCGTACAACTAATTCACACAAACATAGCGAACAGTCTAGGAACAGTATAGCCACAAATTATGACTTAAAGCTTTCGTGACTGCAGGAATACATAGTCTATGGGTCCTTCGGTAAAGCCACGTAGATATAATAAAATAAAAAATCACGACGTTTCGATCGCAACACAAGCAGTCGTGTTCAGGTGATTGAAGACGATTGCTTGTGTTGCGTTCGAAACGTCGTGATATTTTTTTATAATTTCCTATCTACGTGGCTTTACCGAAAGACCCATAGAATAAGTACAGGTAGTCCCCGAGTTACGATGGTCCGACTTACGATATTTTGATCTTACGATGGCGATCGCGATACGACAAAATTTCCATCAACAACCTAACATCGTTCAAGTATACAGACGACGGACAGAATCTTGGCGAGTACAGTACAATATGATACGTTATGATACGTTCAATACATGTATGATACGTAGCTTTAGCGATTTCATTTTAAGGTTACCACGATACAATACGTTCAATGCATGTTAAAAGTGTTTTTATAGCAGATAGGATTGTTTCCTGAAAAAACTTTCTATTAAATTGCAGTTCATATAGGTAGGCTAAGAATTTACCTTATTTTTTTTACTTAACATTTTACTGTGCAATACAGTATTGTAATTAATAAATACATACAGTATATAGTTTATACAGTACGGTACTGTAAATTGCTCTGTTTTGCTAAATTATCACCATTCTTTAAGACTCCAGGCTCGGCCATCTTCGACTTATGATATTTTCGACTTACGATGGGGTCGTCGTAACGCATCTCCATCGTAAGTAGAGGACTACCTGTATAGCCACACTTAACTAAACGTGTTGCCTCCACCAAATAGTGCGTGCGCCTCTGTAATAACACACAACTACACTCAGACGTTGCAAGGTTTTTAGTTTACATAATTATTTAATTACGCTGAGGTATGCAATTTTATCTGGCCCACCAGTTTCCCTACCCCTTATATAAAGAATTAAAAATAAAGAAAATTGTACGTTTTGTCTGCTGATCCTGCTGTGGTGGAGTGGTGAGCACACTGGACATTCAATCCAGTTCGATCTCCCAGTGCGGCAGTTGAAACAATGGGGCCAGTTTCTTAAATTCCCCTGCCTCTGCTCAAGCAGCAGTACCACCAATGGATACTCGGCAGTTAGTCCATTGGCAGGTCCTGTGTGGTAGGGTAAAGTGTGGGTGACTCCCACCTCTTCAAAAACATCTAACCAACGTAGAATAGGACAAAAATAAACCTTTTAGAGGGTCTCTCTAGAGCCCGGAGCTCCTCCTAGCGGAGGCCCTTTCTCCGCAGATGGCACGAGCAAGCCATTACATGCGCTGAACCCTTACCGCCTTGCACCCCTGATCCTCACGATCCTGACCTTGTCAAAGGGGTCGGTGTGGACGAGCGCGTGCGAGCGTAGGTGCGGGATGTTGAGGGCCGTGAACTGCTTGTCCCACTGCACCAGCCACTGCCCGTACGTGTCCACCACCATGACCTCCAGCAGCTGCGGGCCACGCGGGGTCTCCTCTCCGTCCTCGGCTAAGGAGGCACCCGCATCAAAGCACACCCGGGGGTCAAACGCCAGCTCCACCGCTCAACGTGTAATGCTAAGATGGAATGGTTTGTGCACTCAACCCGGCATGGGTTACAAGTTAATATCAAGACTCAGGGGGCCAAGATGCAGCCAATGTTAAATAAACTTTCAATCAATGTTAACCGCTGAACAGAATGATGTTTGTATATGGCCAGTGGTGGCGCACACCTTCACCCGTCTACATTTCACTGCCATGTACTCATTTCTAAACCAACATTAAATTGGCCGCTCCATCTCCAAACCTCCAGTGCTTCCCCTAACCCTGGAAGTGGTCATCGAGTCCCAAGCGACAGTTCTTCCTTCGTCGTGAACTGGCCCACGTCTCGCCCGCTAGAGACAGTGGAAACGCGGCGGACATCCCCGTGGTGTGTGCGGGTTCCCATCTCGCTCCGCCTGCCTCGCCCCGCACCTGCCTTCTCCTGCAGGCCCAAGGAGGCCAACGCCGGCTCCACCTCTTCAGATCGCCCATTCCGCAGCAGTCCCACGACTACCCCCCGCCTCCTCCATCTCCTTCACGGCCCCGGGCCCACGGCTCCTGCCGCCCGCCCTCCTGCCGCCGCCGCCGCCTCGACCCTTGGCGGCGGCGCTGAGCTTCAGGCCCCCGAAGAGGCCGCTGAGCGAGTCCCAGGGCCGCGAGTCCGGGTTTCGCAGCAGCGTGAGCAGCGTGAGGGCGTGCGGGCCACTGCCCACGATCAGCACGTCCACGTCCCGCTCACTGTCGCCCATGGCCGCGTTTGCTCTCCGTCTCGGCTCCCTCTCTCGCCGTCTCTCGCCGTCTCGGCTCTCTCGCTCTCCGTCTCTTTCTCGGCTCCCTCTCCTAGAGGACCAACACGCGGCGGAGTCCTCGACTTGAAGCGACGCGGCTCGCCGCCATCTTGGGTGAGGGTGTTCCGCGTCTCCCCCCCGCGCCCCTCCCCCCCCCGCGCCCCTCCCCCCCCCGCGCCCCTCCCCCCCCGCGCCCCTCCCCCCCCCGCGCCCCTCCCACCCCCGCGCCCCTCCCACCCCCGCGCCTCCCCCCCGCGCCCCTCCCCCCCGCGCCCCTCCCCCCCCGCGCCCCTCCCCCTCCCCCCCCGCGCCCTCCCCCTCCCCCCCCGCGCCCCTCCCCCCCCGCGCCCCTCCCCCCCGCGCCCTCCCCCCCCCGCGCCCCTCCCCCTCCCCCCCCGCGCCCCTCCCCCCCCGCGCCCCTCCCCCCCCCGCGCCTCCCCCCCTGCCCCCCCTCCTCCCCCCCGCGCCCCTCCCCCCCCGCGCCTCTCCCCCTCCCGCACCTCCCCCCCTCCCCCCCCGCGCCTCCCCCCCTCCCCCCCCGCGCCTCCCCCCCTGCCCCCCCTCCTCCCCCCCGCGCCCCCCTCCTCCCCGCGCCCCCCTCCTCCCCCCCCCGCCCCCCCCTCCTCCCCGCCCCCCTCCTCCCCCCCCGCCCCCCTCCTCCCCCCCCCGCCCCCCTCCCCCCCCCGCCCCCCTCCTCCCCCCCCCGCGCCTCTCCCCCTCCCGCGCCTCCCCCCCTCCCGCGCCTCCCCCCCTCCCCCCCCGAGCCTCCCCCCTCCCCCCCCGCGCCTCCCCCCCTCCCCCCCCGCGCCTCCCCCCCTGCGCCCCCTCCTCCCCCTCCTTGCCCCCCCTCCCCCTCCTTGCCCCCCCTCCTCCTCCCCGCGCCTCCCCCCTCCCCTCCCCCCCGCCCCCCCCCTCGCGCCGCCCCCCGCGCCTCCCCCCTTGCTCCCCCTCCTCCCCCCCGCGCCCCCCTCCTCCCCCCCCCCCCCGCCCGCCCCCCTCCTCCCCGCGCTCCCCTCCTGCCCCCCGCGCCTCCCCCCCGCTTCTGTTTAGTATTATGTATTCTGATTAATTTTTATATTCGGTGTCTTTTTATGATTTAGTAAAAGCAAATCGGTTCTTAGGTTCATAATGCTTTTCCGAAGCGATGTTCACACAGAGCTGTCATTGCAGCGACACTTTATATATTGTAGTGTAGACAGATCTCCCGTTCTGTAGCCTTGGACTGCTGGGGCAAGCGCTGTCAGCGGGCAGCGCCTATGAAGGCCGGCACGGCACACAAGGGGTGGGTGGCCAGCACCATGCCCGGCCGCCTTTGTCTCCCCAGTGGCGATGTTTACACACCGCACCAGGTACTCATTTCAGACTGAGTCGACCTAGAGGAGGTGCAGATAGTCGTCACTGGTGTTGGTGGCTGTGAGTGGGAGAATAGAGCTTGGGTGCCGGGTTCGTAGCGCAGCGCGCCCATTGCTGCACTACCGCACGGGCAAAGGCGCAACCGTGCAAGTGCCTTGCTCTCACAACTGCTGACAAAAGGGCCTCCACCGGAGGAAGCACGAGACACCCTCGCTTGGTGATTGGCCTACTCTTCTACGCTGGACGGGGCCTGGGAAGAAGTGGGGGTTACCTACACTTTATCCCACCACACGCGGCCTTCCGTCCCGATTGGTAATCTATGAAAGCAAAAAGTAACATTTTTATTGGACATGCGAGGATGGGCGAGGGCCTCTCCACACTGTTGACCCCACAGGACATTAGTTGACCATACTTCACCACGCTGGTCAATGCGGTGGACTGGGAGCAGAGATATACACCTCCGATTAGCACGGTTGATTACGTACGGTGCGAAAGAAGTTAATGTACAATGGATACTACTTCACTGTCCTCTGCTGCCACCACGTAGACCCGCAACACAAGGCTCCGTTTGCCATATCAACAACGTCCGTCAACAGCACTGGCCTTTAGAGGAAAAAATAAGACTTTTCAGGCGATTGCCCTTCTTCATAGCACATAGGCTAGAAGATAGACCACCAGGCTTGATGAGAATTATATTTTAACAATGTTTTAACACTTTTTAAATTGGCATGCAAAGTACCCTATTGGCAGATGAGTTTTAATTATGGTTCCTTTAGTCTGTATGGTGATCATCCTTCCATGGACTATCCAGGATCAACTTTGCTTAGCTGCTGACACGAACGGGCGAATGAATCCAGGTGATTTCATCATCGGCATTTTAAAATATAATTCAGTAAATAGTAAAATACAATACGCTTTATCTTCTTGGTTCTTTCGGTAAAGTCAACGCAAGCAGCCGTCTTCAGGTGGAGAAGAGGTCTGTCGAGAAGGCAGAGTCTGAATGCCTTCTCGACAAACCTGTTCTCCACCTGAAGACGGCTGCTTGCGTTGTGGCCGAAACGTCGTGAGAATTATTTAATGTTTTATTTTTATTATTTTCCTTCTACGTGAATTTACCGAAAGAACCAAGAAGATGAACCCCTGCAGTCACGAAAGCTTTAAATCGAAAAATACAATACGCTTTATTTAACCAGGAACGCTTCACCGAGTCTCAAGACTCTCTTTCAGGAGGCTCCTGCGTCAAAGAGGAGTTTGACCAAGTTATCTCTCCAGCATTGGTTTGACTTTTTAGGATTGAAGGGGAAACCAGAGAATCCCCCTCCCCAATCAATGGTGTGCGAGCTCCACGTGTTTTACAAATGTAATGCGGGCGTAAATGGGCGGGGCGGATATGACGATCCGAGAGGGAGGAGTCAGGGTGACGTGGGGGAGAAGTTATAGCGGGGAGACAGGAAGCTATCTGGGGCAGTCGGGGGAGTGAAGGGTGGTGAACACGTTGGGTGGTCGCCGTGCCTCAGCCTGGTGGCTGAGGGGCTCATGACGGCGCCAGCCAGCGGGGTGGAAGAGAGAGTGGAGGATTGAGGTAGGAAATGGCGAGATAGCCATAGAGGCCACGAAGGGCTGACATTGGGAGGTGGCGAGATCGCCACGCACGGAGGAACAGGGAGCAGAGATGGAGCTGCTGGGGGAGCAGCCAGAGGGCTGTACCAAGAGCCTGCAGCGGAGCTGCAGGAGCGTGGAAGGCTACGGGAGCGAAGGCAGATGTGGGGCTGCCAGGGAGAGAGTCTCAGGAGGAGTGCCGTGTGGGAAGGAGAACGCGAACCCCAAATAAAGGACACGGAGTCAGCAAGAAGTGTCTGAGTCCTTTTATTACACTGGAGTCAGAAGTGAAACGGCATCTCAAAACAACTGAGAGAAAGAAGAAAAAAAAATATTCCTGCTACATCATCCGACGACGACGACCTTCCTCAGACAGTGGACCTGCCTGCGATGGAAGAGGAGATCCGTTCTGGAACGAGTACGGGTCCGGGTGAGCAAGGTGTCGCCGCGTCGGTGGACCTGTCTGTGCCGAAGGATGCCAACTTACGATGGAGACAGATGGTGATGCAGATGGGGACCTTGAAAATCGTGCTGGCGCGACTGTGTGAGTTCACCACGCCGAGGACGACGTCGGGGAGGCCCGGTGGTGATCCGCAGGCCTCTGCCTTTCCTGCGCTGCCAGCGCCATTGCCACGTGGCACGAAGACGCCATCTTGGGCGTGGCAGGGGAGAAACGGCGGGAAGCCGCCATCTTGTCTTCACCGCGGCGGGAGGACGCCGCCATCTTCAACATCGCGGCGGAGAGGCAGCCTTGCGCTGCCATCTGGAGGTGCCGCGGGGTGAGAGCCTGCTGTGAGCTGCTGTTTTTCGAGGGGGTGCTGCGAGGAGAAGACGCCGATGCTGCAGCTGCTGGGGCGGGAGCTTCCCGTCCTGGCTCGGGTGCGTGACAACGGAGCCGTCAAGTCGCCGAACGAGTTCTGCGAGGCGTCTCAAGTTGCCACCCTGCCGTCCTCTTCTTGCTGCAGCCCCGGGCGAGTCATAACGATACGCACCCGGCCTTAACACACACCTCACTCATCTTTCGAGGGCCGGGGGGCTATTTTGGTTTTCTCTTATGACTCGATTGTGCGGAGCGCGGTTCGGACTGTGTGTATGTGTGTGTAATAGCGATGAACGCGCTATCTGCTTGTTAATGGTGTCAATGTAAGTGTGTGCGTGTGTTGAGAATGGACGGAGAGTCTGCTGTATTTGCTGAGTGTCAAATTGTGTGTGTGCGCTGCTGCGTGGAGTTGTTATCTTAATGGTGAAGTTAATTATTAACTTGGGAGCGTCGGGTATCTTGCGCTGTATTATTTGTGGGTTACCTTGTGCGATGGGCTTAATTGGAAAAAAAAATAACATATATATTTTTTTGGTGTATTGTGCTGCGAGGTGCTGTGTGCGATGCGATTGTTGCAAGAGAGAGAATAATTGTGTTGTTGCTGCAAAGTTACGACAGGATTAATGGTGTGTTGGTTGCCTGCAGATCTGCTTGCTATTGTGCTTAAATGTGCGCGTGTGATCGCGATATGCTGATTGCATGTGCTGTTATACCGTTCTGTATGGTTATGGGGTGCGATGCAGTGGTTGATTATTGGAATTGGGATTGTTATTATATTGTGCGTACCTGTTGGAAATTGGTAACAAATTCGAGGGGGACCCAAATAATTGGTTGTATGGTTGTTGTGCACACGAGATTGCGTGTATATTATAGAGGGGGACCCTAAAATTCGGTTGTATTGGTGTTGTGCACACGAGATTGCGTGTATATTATAGAGGGGGACCCTAAAATTCGGTTGTATTGGTGTTGTGCACACGAGATTTCGTGTATATTATGGGTAATTGCGCTTTTTGAGAGAGAGAGCGCGCTTTGAGGGTGCGTGATGACGCCGTTGTGGGTGTCTCAAAGGTTAATGCTAATGGGACCGTAAATTGGCGCCAAGTGGCGTCGCGTATTCGGTTGATCGCATGCAGCCACGAGTTGCTTGGCGAGTTGGGTTGTGTAACTAATGTGGTTGGTAAAATATTGGTTAAAAATTCCACGATATGACAGCTGTGCGCAGCAAGCTGGGGCTGTGCGTCTATCGTTGGTGGGGTTGTTATAATGTGACGGGAGATGCGTCTTGTGACCCCCAGCTAAGGGAAGCTGGGGTGCACGAATGGAGAAAACTGGCCACGTGTTCGCACGTTGGGCCGCCATTTTGCGCGCACGCGGGGTATGGTGACGATGCGCTTTGCGGAAAGGGCCGCCATTTTGAGTGCGCGCGAGATATTGCGCGAACGCGCTGGGCGAAGGGGGACGCCATTTTGAGCGCGCGGGAAAAACCGGGGTGGGGCAAATATTCCATCTGTTATGCCTGCCATTGTTGATTGGGTGATACACGAGTTGTGGTCACATCGGGCTATGGCTGATGGCTGACCTGACAGCCCGGAGGCGAAACCTCCGTGGTATGTCTTAAACTAATGGGCCATGTGCTCATATGGCTCGGGGAGTCATGGTTCAGTTGTGCGGTGGCAGACTGAACCTGGTGTGCCGGGGGCTCACGGGATCTGGGTTAGGGTGTTATTGTCTCTATAAGAGAACATTGCCCCGTGGGGGGAGTACAGGGGGTCTGGCATTGCTGGGGGATGAACCTTCCCTGGGCTATAAAGCATCGGACTATACGAGGCTGGTGTGTGTCCATCTCTGATGGGATAGTAAGGGAGGAGCGTGGCCGAGTTGCTGCTCATCCCCGAAATTGCACTAGCTGAGAGTATGGTCAGTGGATGTTGCTGTGGGTTGACGACCACGGTGGGGGTTAGGGCGAGTTAAACATTACCGCTGGGGAGCGTGGCTCTCTCCACGCGAGGGTGTGCGATTAGGCGTTTTGTTGGGTTGCTGAGAGTGACCGTGGGTACATGCTGTGTACGTGCGATGTCTGTGCTGGTCCTCAAGGGAGGACTGCTGGTGGGTAAGAGCAGAAAATTTTGTTGTTGTTGTTGTCACGTGTAAATAATATTGTTGTTAAAATGTAAATACTGGGGCATCCATTGCGTTATTTTGGGTATTTATGGGGAGTTTTTTTTAAGCGGGCTGGATTTACATCATCTCCACTACCCTGAGGCCGGGTGGCTGTCGTGTACGACATGCGGATGTGCGTTGTTGTGCTGTGCCTCAGGGGATTGGATTCTCCTTCTCGTCACAGATTCTTCAGCTCCCGTCGCACTGGGTGTTACCTGGTGTGCTAGCTGGATGAGGACTTGAAGGAGCAATTGAGCACCGTTCGTCGTTCTGCTCTACCACTTGCTCTTTGACGTTGGACTTGAGCCGAGCGGATGGAACTGCAACATGGACACGCACTAAAACATCACATTTCTGGGTTGTGCGCGTTGGCCGTTCTTGCGTGTCAGTTGCCGTTTTTGTTCATTGTGCCATTCTTATTCTTGTTGTGCGGAGGACAGGCCGGTGTTCTGTTCCAGTTCCTGATACCTCCCCTTTCGTTGCTTGTGTTGTTGTTGTTATGATCTCCGTTGTGTCTGGGGGACTCCTGATTGTGATGCCTTCGCCCGCATTATTTTGTTCTGTTTCAGCCGAGGACGGCTGGGATTTTCTCTACGGGGGAGGGTAGTGTAATGCGGGCGTAAATGGGCGGGGCGGATATGACGATCCGAGAGGGAGGAGTCAGGGTGACGTGGGGGAGAAGTTATAGCGGGGAGACAGGAAGCTATCTGGGGCAGTCGGGGGAGTGAAGGGTGGTGAACACGTTGGGTGGTCGCCGTGCCTCAGCCTGGTGGCTGAGGGGCTCATGACGGCGCCAGCCAGCGGGGTGGAAGAGAGAGTGGAGGATTGAGGTAGGAAATGGCGAGATAGCCATAGAGGCCACGAAGGGCTGACATTGGGAGGTGGCGAGATCGCCACGCACGGAGGAACAGGGAGCAGAGATGGAGCTGCTGGGGGAGCAGCCAGAGGGCTGTACCAAGAGCCTGCAGCGGAGCTGCAGGAGCGTGGAAGGCTACGGGAGCGAAGGCAGATGTGGGGCTGCCAGGGAGAGAGTCTCAGGAGGAGTGCCGTGTGGGAAGGAGAACGCGAACCCCAAATAAAGGACACGGAGTCAGCAAGAAGTGTCTGAGTCCTTTTATTACACAAAATAAATGCACCCTCATATAACCAGGATTATATTTTAATTGATACAGGTAAAAATTCATTACAATCAGGCTCGTATAGCTGTGGAATTGTACTGCCTGTGATTTGCTTCTGTAACACCAAGCTCGATATCAGTATTCCTGCATTGAAATGGCTCTTCACAACATTTAAACTTAAAACTGTAAAACTGGTTATGCCCTTCTTCCAGACAGACTCAACTCCGCTTTGTGGGTAGGCTGATTGGCAGAGATACACAGGTGAACCACTCACTGCACACGTGCGGTACTTCCACCGAAGATGGTCTAAGCAAGTTTCCCAAAGAGGGAGCGACACTGAGGCACGCGGCAAGGATCGTGCAGCCCTCGCCACGTGGCCAAATATTTTGGTGTGGTGAGCCAAACCAAAGGTCTCTACCGAGATTTAGAATACCATACGACTACACTACAGTGAAACGCAGAAGAGAAAACTATTACAATACACAGGCTACAACCACTTACAAGCACAGCCTCGGACCATGAATTTCAAATGAAACCTCATGCAGGGTTCTTAAACTGGGGACCTACGAGACAAATTCAGGTCGTGAATACTCTTGGAGTCACCCGCCGAGAGATCTTGGTCGCTGACGTATCAAGAGAATACAGAGAGCTGTGAGATGAGAGACCTGGATATGGCATAAAGAAGAGATGAAGACACCTGGATACAGGAGGTACAGATTAGTGGTCACATGTACATGTGTCACGACGCCACGATGCCACGTAACATAATAACGTCTGTTGCAGTGACGCGTGACATCACATAGCCTTCACAAAACTTGAAACTGGCAGCGCATGCAAATTTGGTTACATGACCCGCTGTTAAATCTACTTCAAGAACCCTGACCTTGAGGAGGCTGTGATGGCGGGGAGGAGGCCGTGATGGCGGGGAGGAGGCCATGATGGCGGGGAGGATGCCGTGATACACTTCACTCATCATACGCCGACTCGCACATCATACACTCACTCACACTACCACTGACTCACTCATCATACGCTCACAACATCGTACACTCACTCACACTACCACTGCCTCACTCACACATCATACAATGGGAGTGTCATGCTGCCAGCTGTGGCTGCAAGTTTGGTCGTACATGTTATATATATCGTTTATTGTTACATTTGAATCACAGTTCCTATGATTACTGTTGTTACATTGTCTTTATAGCTATATTTTGGTGATTTCGAAAACATATGGTTAAGCCATGTTTCTTGCGGAAGTGCGGAGTTGGCCTGATAAATTAAATCTAAATTGTCTTATGGTTCATCTTCTTGGTTCTTTCGGTAAAGTCAAGAAGATGAATCCCTGCAAGTCACGAAAGCTTTAAATCGAAATGTCTTATGGTTGTTATTGTTTGACTTGCATCATACTGGGATTTTTGCACACAGCGTTGTAATACGGTGTTTTTTTTCTGGAAGATTTCCTGGTTTATCCAGGATGTTTCTGTTGCGCGTCGTCGCTTTAAGATGTTTTCTGTTCATATTTTGTTTGTTGCGGTTGCACCCGACTCAAGAGCCGCATGGCTCACAGGGCTATACCTAATAAATTAAACTTGAAAAACACGTCAACAGACACCAACATTACAACTATTAACAGGTAGTGGGTTCTGCTCACTCCTCATCAGCTTAATGGTCACAACTCCACCAGAGGCATATTATTTGTTTCACTGATGATTGTAATTGTATATTTTTTTTATTGTCTTGAGCGAGACCAAAAGCAATGTCAAACGTTCAGGCTGATCCAGCCCTGCGTAAAAGCAAGTTAATTCAGGCCATATTTTTTTGGGAGCTGAAATAACTTAAAACTAAACAAAAAAATGTTGCGTTTCAAAATTTCTTGATATATTATCTTAGAATCACTTATACTATTACTGTCGTCACCAGCCTTGATCAATCTACTGTTGAATGAAGATCTCCCCAAACTATTGCCATCTTTCCCGGCCTACTTTGTTTTTCTGTCATCTGTGTCAAAGGTCAGCGTCTCCCTGTGCAAACAAAATTAGGGCGGCACTCATTTCGATTGACAACCCTGAGTCATTCATGATTAATCCCACATTCCCATGGCAGGGGCTAATCTCTCTATAGAAGAACCTACTGTTAATTTCCCACAAACTAGAGACCACATGCGGATTCACTCTGCAATTGGAATTTGGACTCGCTACATCCCAACTGTGAGTTGAGCTTTCTTAACTGCTGTACCACATGGCTGGACTGCGGTTGGTGTAAGTGATTATGATGGTGTTGTGTTTTGGGCCTATATTCCAAGATTTGACGCCAAAGAATTCTGCCACTTCGATTTGATGGCAGGAGATCACTTGAGACCTTTACAATTTAACCAATGGCCCTTTTTACATGAAATAATATGAATCGATTTAAAACAAGTTTTTTTAAAATAAAACGTTAAAATAGTGATATCAATCATAATAATAATACCCTTTAGGAAGCATGTTCAAGAGGACCCTCTGAAGGAATATTTGGCCAATTCCATTTGTTTGGCCTGTGAGCAGACACTAATGTTCTCATAATCATGAGTTAATTTGGTATTTGCACTGTTCTAATAACACAAGGCAATCAGCAAGCATTAGGCAAGTGCAGTGTTTAACGACTTTACTTGCATTTTACACGGATGGACACTTGGCAGACACAGAAAGGTGGGGCATGGTGGATTTTCCAGGACTGCAGTTTGGGAAACCTTGGTTCAGTCTAATCAGCTGAACTGAATTGATTTCAACTTAATGCAAAAAGGACTTAATGATAATGGGGTGCCATATGCCGGAAGGCAGCATGACGATGACCCAACATCGGCCGGGTCGGTGCTCAGATAGACGTAGCCGTTGCCTCTGCTTGCGCCGCTGCTAGCGTTCACCGGGCCGTCCCCTTTTTGTCTCCTCCCCCACACACGGCAGCACCATTGGGCACGGCAGAGACAGGCCCAGCAGGATCGCCAACTAAGGGCTGCGTCAACACAATTGCACAATCAGCACTGTCAGCAGAGTCGTTGCAATACAACCACCAGAGCCAAGCACCGGTCAAAAGTACAATTCCTTTGCCACAGCAATCGAGTTTATTTCCACGGGTCCTCGCCATTATGTGAAATGCAAGACCCGTGTTTAAATGCAACTGTGGCTGTGGCATTTGAGATGCGGTTGCATCTGGATGCTGTTTAATTCAAAACTGTATTGTACACCATTAAAGTAAATTAACAAACTACAGCCCTTTATCAATTCGCTGCTGCTGGTTTAAGGCCTCCCAACTATCGGTCGTGAGGTTTGACCATACTTCACCACACTGGTCGATGCGGGTTGGTGAAAACCAGAGCCAGGACCAGTTCAAACTGTCACCGAGTTCATAGCACAATGTCTAACCAGCTTTGTTAATTATTAAAATGTACTGGGCAGATCGTTCAAGGAATGTCATGTCACTCACACATGGCATGATTCAGTCATAAATATAACTTGGACTACCATGCGAGAAACGTTGTTCTGAAACAGGGTAGATGTGAAAGTGCTGTCCCCCCACAGCGTTGAATTAAGATCACTTGAAGGGATTTCAGAGGTAGCTCTGGCATGCCAAGTTCTACACAACCCACTACAGAGGTATCATGTCGGCACCACGTCCCAATACGTAGAATCCATTTGGAAATCTCACCAAGCAGTACACCCCAGTGCACTGGCCCTGGAAGAAATTTTTCACAGAGGACCTCTCCCAAAAATTCCTTCCAGGTTTATATTTGTAGTGGGCCGCGTGAAACTGGGGTGCGTTACTCACTGTGGCAGCTTCGCAGTTGTAGAGCTCTCCGAACTTGCGGAAGACGTGGTGGAGGGGCAACCCCACCACATTGAGGAAAGTCTCCGTGGATACTCTCCACGAACATCCCGCCCAGCGCCTGGATTCCATATCCGCCCGCCTTGTCCCTTTACAAGAAAAAACACGCATATCCATCACGTACAGGAATCATCCACTACAAATTATTGCAATTACGGAACATTTTTCCTTATAAGTGTACCGTTTCGAATATGCGTTTTTTTTTTACTCATAACGCACGCAATAAAAGCGGACTATTTTTCGATGCAATACCAACTGTTTTCAATTAGCGAGTACCACTGAAAATCCCTCTGCCACGTGGAGGACAATCCATCCATGTGGCAGAGTAAAGTTGGACCTGGCAATGTCAAGAAGTCGGACATCATAGGGTTGCTCGAGTTCCACGGCGAGGATCTGTCAAATGAGGATCTGAAACGACCTCATTTCCTCCCCTGACATCATGATATTCTGAAGCAGAAGATTCATGCTGGATACAGCCACATTTGCCAATGTGATTTGTAAATTTTACTCTTAAAAATGTATCGATAGTTAAATGTTTATGTACAATTTCATTGAGGGATTGTGTTGTCTTGGTGAGGTCAAGGACTGTTTTTGCTATTGTTATACTGCCTTTACCAAGCTTTGGAATTGATGTACTGATGCAATTTGCTATGGTGGTGTGATGTTATGTTCCTCTCCTTGTATACAGGTCGAGAGTCCAATCCTGACCCTGACGCTTGCTCTCCCCATGGTCGCGTAGATTTTTTCTCCGGGTCCTCCGGTTTTTATAAATATGCATATAGATTATTTTGCTGCTATAAATTTCCACATGATAAACCACTTCGTTGAGCTATTACTTGTGGCCAGGTCGCTTTGAAAGAGAAGCCAATAGCTCAGTGGGCTTTACCTGGTAAAATAAAAAAAGTTTAGTTTTATTTGTATATTTTTTCAAAGTGAGTTGTTTACCTTTCCTACACTCCTTCTGTGTTTTTGTCTTGTTTGTTGTAACATTCTGACCTGCCCCTACTGGACGTCTGTGTAAAAGAGCTTTATAGCTCATCGGATTCCTCCTGTATAAATATTTTGAATTATTTTTATGCAGTTGGGACAAGTACGAGCTGATGAAGAGGACAATAAAACGACATCACCACCACCAAAAATATTAACTTTCAAAAGATTATCAGGAGGCTTTTATTTATTTATTTGGAAGCAGCAATAGACACCTTCAGAGAGGATGATCCAAACAGAGAACGCAGCTCTAGAGTTAACAGGACATTGACCAGTAGCTTTCACTGCTAAAAGGAGCTGTGCCAACAGCAGAACAAACATTCTGTCCCAGCTGTCTTTGGATGGATTTGTAAACGTTCTGCAATCGAGCCAGAAGGGCCAGAGGAGAGCACAGAAGAGAGGCAGCTACCGTTGGTGAACATTCCTGTAGCTCCAGCTTAATCGTCAGATGAAGAGGCAGCTGATCCCACCCCTTAGTTTGCATAACTCCAGCAATTAGCAAGCTCTTCAACCATCTCGATTTGTATTTATTAAAATCACATGCATTTTTGTACACCGACATTCACGTTTTTTCCCACAGAAATTTCAGATAAGAACATAACCACTGATTTTAACATGATGTATATGGGAAAATCAGTGTAATTTAGAATCGGAACACAACAATGCACTACTAAAATTCCCATAAGGGGCCGTCCATAAATGACGTCACGCACCTGGGGGGGGGGGGGGGGTCAGACATTCGTGACGATGTGTGACGAGGGGGGGTTTGAGAAATGTGACGTCACATCAAAATGTGCAACTTTAAATATAGACAACACGTTCTACTTAATTAAATAGACTTTTTAATAAATGTTTTCTCCTACAACATCAGGGTGCAGCGGCACATTAAATACGCACTACAATGACAATAGTTTAAAGCAATTTGAAGCATGTTTTTTTTTTGTGGGGGGGTCTGACTTTTTGTGACGCCGTGTGACGAAGCGGGGGGGGGGGGGTCAAAAATCGTGTGACGTCATTTATGGACGACCCCTAAGGTCAGTGTCATGAAACGTGTTAAGGTTTAACACAAAGGGAAGCATTGTTACACTCATAATTAAGAAATATTGTATATTTACATGCAACGCTGTAAAAAAAATACTGCTAGCTTGTTGTCGGAAGGGGTGCCCCCCTTCCGACAACAAGCTAGTCACCACAATTATACACACAGACACGGGGCACGCGCGCACACAGACACACACACACACAAAGACGCACACAATGATCTCCCGTGTAGCCTTAACAGGCTGTTGAGGCAAGCTGTTTGCGAGCAGCGCTGATGAAGGCCGGCACAGCACATGAGGGGGTGAATGGCCAACGCCATGCCTGGCCGCCTTTGTCTCCCCAGTGATGATGTTTACGCACCACACCAGGTACTGGTGCTGGCCATGAGCAAGAATTGAACTCGGGTCGCCGCTTTCGTAGCGCAGCACGCTAACCGCTACACTACCGCTTCGTACACAACTTTCACACACGCGTAAACACTCCCAGTGCGAGGCCGACTCATTACACCTCGTGGAGGATCGCTCCTCTGAACAAAATAGTTCCGAAGTTCAGTTTGGAATTGCGAGTTCGCGTTTCAAGTCAATGTTATATTTTTTATATTTCAGGGAAGCTGGTTTGTAAGTACAGACGTTCATAAATGAAGCGTTCGTAAGTCGAGGACTGTCTGTAACATTTCCCAGGTACACATCCCTTATGTATAGCAGAGAATCCTGTACGTATATATAATTCAGCTCAAGCATTCCTGAAATCTCGGGACTTGTATATGGCCACCCCTCCTCTCTGAATCCATCCCCGCTGCTCCCTGTAAAGACAGCTTGCTCCTTCCTTCTCTCTCCCCCCTCTCTTCCGATTCATATCATCACCACCATCACATCGTCAGTGACAACTTGGCCCAGTCATTCCTTTTCCCCTCCTCCTCTTCCTGCCTCGTGCTCCTTTGTCTGTTTTGGGGACTTCCATCCTGACGTCCGTTCCTCTTGCTTTCTCTGTAAATTATATCGACTCTACTCCCCTTCCCGTGGTGTGCCGTGGGTAAATTTTTTTAATGGATTCTAAAATGCTATCCATGACGAGTTACAACGCAAGATGACATCACACATGATGACATAGTCACACTGGCCAGCAAGGCGAATAAATTTCGTGCTGTTTTCTATCTCCAAAGTTTGGCAACGCTTTGATAAGTTTGGCCAGATTTCTACAACAAATTTGCTTGACAAAAGGTTTAAAGTAAAAAAAAAATCATGCTCGCAATACATGCCGCATTACATTGTTTAAGAACTGATTATTCACAATTTGTACAAATAATATAGCAGTGGTAAAATCGTAATACATGGCACCATGTCATGAGATGGAGAATCCACGTGGGGATCTGACTCAGCACTGCACTCCTGTGATAGAACAACCCTTTTGCAGGGTGTCCAGGGTGCCGAATGGTGCGTGCATAGCAAAAACGTAACGAATTATGTACCCAATAATTTTCAAACTATAACTTAGGAAAATAACCTAGCTTAGGAAAATAACCCAGCAAACACATGTTGGGCCCACATGTGGTTGAAACGGTTGGACAAACGTTATATGTTTACTGGGAAGCTGAAACAAATGAGACAACATAAGAGTCAGACAATACAAATGAAATGGCACACATGCGACAAAACATAATAGATTATAAAATGAATAGCAACCCCAAATTGTTATGGTTCTCCGAATCGAGGTGAAGAATAATTGGGTTGTGGCTATTGCTGACACTGGACTTTTGACACAAAACATATTTTGCTTACACTACGTCACATGACAATCCAAGTTAACATACTTTGATCACACTAGGGATCAGAGTTCATGGGATGGTTTGGTAACCTAACATTTGGTAATGCTTAAAATCTGTGGATTGCATCTCACTGTATTAAGGTGAGGGGGCTTATGAGTCTGGTTACGCTACTGGCCAAGAGAAATGTAATACGATATCACTGTCCCATTGAACACTGACCCACGGTTGTTGTTAATGATAAACAGACGCACGCAATGATAACTCGGCTGAGAGTTACATGATAATGAAAATAAACATAACCAATGCCTATGTTTAAATAAAACTCAGAATCTAGTTTAGTTTTACTTTGGTTAATTGCATCATGCGAGCTGTCTGGGAAAACGGCGTATCGATGTGCGTGCAGAACTTTTTCAGTGAGCGCATACTGCCAGCCATGACGCATGGATCAGAGGCATCGATACTGCAGGAAAATTAAATTAATGCAGGAAATGAAATTAAGTGAGGAGAGATGCGTGCTTGGAATTAGGGAAAGACAGAAGAAGTAAAATGAGTATCAGGGAACTCAAATACGAGAGATGCATCACGTTGACCATGAAGAGAAGTGAATGGGCCTAGGTAGGACGCGTAGCAGGATTGACTAATGGCCGACAAACAAGACCGGTGACCATGGAAGCCACGCAGAGAGAACGCATCCAAGGGGACGACCGCCGCAGAGATGGAGCGATGAGATCAGTTCTCATGTCGGGGTCAGATGGATAGTATAGCAGTGCTGGATTGTAAAGGATGGCGATAGCACCGGGGAAGCCTTAATCCAGCAGTGCTAAAACAATGGCTGTCGATTAGGAATGACTGGGCCAGTAATAACTCGTTTATGAATAGAGGTATTATTCTGGACTTTAGTCCAATTATGCTATCGTAGTCACGACTTGAAACAAAGTCTACTTTCAGAACTCTTGCAATGCTCAACCCTGTGTGTGTTAGAGCTTGGCCTGCAGAAGGTGAAACCACAAAAGTACAATCAAGTGACCTCTGGTATACATAGCAGGGACCAGAGTACTTGGCAGTGAAACCTACGGTGGGGATTTAGCCAAAGTTAAGTGCAGATTCACCTGTAGTAAGCAAACTGCCCCCGGAATTGCCATCGCAAAACCACTTCTGAGATCCTTCAAGGGTCTTCCTATCCAAACTAAGGGTGGTGCACCTTACCACATGCCGTGCACTATGGATGATTGTTGTATGGCCGTAAAACCGAAATGTTGCAAAATGGAAAAATATAATCGTGCGGTGATTAGTTATTGCGCTGAGACCACAGGTGCAGAGAAGAACCTGGTTTAAACACAGGCAGTGGCTGAAATCTGAATTCGAACCCAGGATCTCAGTGGTGCCAGCCCAGCGCTCTAAACTCTGAGTCACCCAGTCACCTCAACTGTCCTGAATGTGAACAATACTTCATAATCATGTCCAACCGTCTGGGACACAGCCAATGTATGTATCTCCAAGATAATGATTGTTTGTGTTTCAGTTTCAAATTCAAACTGTCTATCGACAGTCGTCTAGGCTGTTCAAATGAGCAATAGTAGAACACTGCTCTCCGTGAGTGGCTCTGACCAGCGGTGGAAATGCCGTGTTTTTTTGGCGACAACAAACCTGACAATAGCCACCGATGACTTACTTCAAAGTGGTATTTATTTTGATAACTTCAGAGGGATGATGGGTCGGAGCGGATACCCAAATGGGAATTTAACTAGCATGCTTCTGATTGCAAGTTGCGTGCTCTATCCAATACACCAGGCCAAACTGCTTTAACATAAGGGGTGATAATTTACAATTGGGTAAGTTGGTCAAAAGCAACTCTTGCCAGATGTAGGAAGCCACGCAGGTTCAGCCTGGGTAGTGCTTGAATGGGCGACCACGATGTACAGCAGGTTGGCATAGGATGATGTGGGGCTACGATGTGGGCAGCAGAGGGCAGTGGAGACAACTATTAGATCTTTTAAAAGACTTCAAGACAAGAAGGCTCATCTGATCGAGCCACTCACTTTTCTGAAGAGATCTGCTGCTGTCACTTCTCCGAATGCTAAACGGATCTTGTTCAGGGCCGGCCTAGCCCTGATCTCAGAGAGAATAAGATTGCTCCGATTTGAACTAGACAATTTAGACAAGACTCTCTTGCAATCACATTTAACATTGACAGAAAAATATCAACATCTGATTTGGACCATGTAGATAACATGACAGCCTCCTCAGCTGCCACGTTAGATAAATGCAAAGATAACCTGATTTTCTAGTTCAACCTCCTTTCCAAGAAGCCAGATTCACCTGATGACGATTGCTTGTGTCGCAATCTAAACGTATACATTTTCTATCTACGTGGTTTTACACAAAGACCCAAAGAATATGAAAGCCACTGTTCTGTATTCCTATGCTCACGTGTGTGCTCCCTACCTTCACCAACCGGCATGACAGAATCGCTGGGTGAAGCCACGTTGTTAAACACGCCAACATTGAGCCAACATTTACATGTGGTTGAAACTGTTGGACCGTATTGGCCCAAAGTTCCAAATTTTATGTGTAATCACTACAGGCCTACTCGCTCACATTGGTTCTCCGCTGTCGATGTACTCCCAAAGCAACTCTTCCGAGAGATCTGCAAACTTCACTCGCGTCTCCTCGTGAAACTGCACTACGCTGGTCTGTAACTTGCCTGCACACACGCACAGAAACACATCGGCACAAATGCACAACTGCCGCCACTCACCACTAAGCCACGGTGACATAACAAAGATTGTGGCAATTTACGTGCAACTTTGAGACCACGTGAAGTGTGGAAGATGTGCTGGCTGGAGATGATGGGAGAGACCCGGGTGTTATGGGTTAACAGAGATAGCAGACAGACCCACTACGCTTGGCATGGGCCAAGTAGTAGTGATGAACTGGCACCCCTTGGCCACCTTCCACCCCCTCTTAAACTGATGCCTCGGTCCCTCCCGAATGAATGCGCGATGGAAATGCTTAATTGTCAGTATTGGAATTTAATTTAATTAAGTGAAAACCCAATTTTTTAAAATCTGCATTCATCTGTTTAGCGGCTGAGACTATCGGCTCACAAAACTTGATAACTTGCTTTCATCACAGGCGAATTAAGCCTAGATTCGAACCCAGGATCTCTGTGGTGCCGGCTTAGGGCCCCAACTGCTGAACCACCTGGCCACATCTTCTATGATACATTGTCCTGGACTGTCTGGCCAGCCTAGGAGAAACGGTCGTGTTACGCCTCACCCTCGCGAACGCAGCACTCGACCAACGCCACGCCGGTGAACACGCTGTGCTCTCGCCCGCTGAGCCTGCCACATGCACGCATACAAACATAACAGACATCGAGTTGAGTGGACTTGGGATTTGAAATGCGGGTCTTATCAGTTGCTTAAGTAATTGATTACAAGTATAATGACCGAAATTAGGAAGCACTGACCCAAAGCAAATGTTCAGCCAAACGGACTTCCAGGAAGTAGGCCTAGACTTCCTACTGGCGTAGAGAGGCCCCCTACCTGGTTGATTATGTTCTTCCAAAGATTGCTAAATTTGAGAGAGAGACAAAACACAGACACAGAGACGCATAGACAGACACATAAGCAGAGAGAGATAACACAGAGACACAGAGAGAGAGACACACACACATAGGCACACAGAGAAACAACGCCTCTGTGTCGAGGCCTTAGAGAGAGAGGGGGGGCAAAGAGAGGGGGGGGTAGAGAAATTAGCATGTCATTGAGAGATTTGGAACTTTCGTGACTGCAGGAAATAAGAGCAACAATACGAGGACACACACAGAGAGAAAACACACTTAATCAAACTTAGTAAATTTGGAAATGTAATGCAATGCAACAGAGAGAGTCGGTCAACACACAATTAACGCATAGCCTGGTTGATTACGTTCTTCCAAAGATTGCTAAATTAAAAGTTAAGTGTGAAATTTGAGAGAGTAATTCCTGCAGTCACGAAAGCTCCAAATCAAGTTTAGACAAGGGAAGTTGGTTAACAAAGTGACAGAGATAGGAGTGCCTACAACTGGTGCGAGAGAGAGTAATAAAGTGCAAGCAGGTGACTTGGATCAACGTGTCCGACTGAGTGATTCTACATGACACTACATTTGGTGTTAGAAGTGCCAACGAACCTGCGTCATGTCCAAGTCGGCGTCGAAATGAAGAAACCCACCTGCTGCGTCGTCGGACGATGAAGCGGAGCAGGACGTCGTCCCTCTAATGGCTCCGGTTGCCGGGGCTTCAAGCGGCCGCTCCGACGACGTGCTGTAGTCGGTGCAGGAGACTGTGGCGAGTCTAGCCCTGCCGCCTCCTCCGCAGAGCTGGCTGGACATTGCCGGTTATCTGGGGAGGCTGTTGTTGGCCGCCGCTCACCTGTTCGAACGAATTACGGCTGCGTCGACCACCGGTCTCCAAGGCCTGCTTTCCGCCACTGTCGGGCCCGAGGCGTCGGGAGCGCCGGACTCGTCCGCCATTTCGGAGGCTGCAGCGGGGCTCAACGCGTCTGCCATTTTGCACGAGTGGCCCATGCCGCAGCAGCAGTTGCCGTCTCCCAAGCTGGAGGACGCCTCCAGGCTTCGACGACTGCTGCCAGTGCGACAGTTCGTAGCTGCGGAGGGCGATTGGCCTTTCGTCGTCGGCTCGAGGCTGCCTACGTCTCGGTAGGATGGACGCCCGGCGAAGTGCTCCGAGCTCTTCCCACGGCCCTCGACGACGACTCGCTTGCCGCCTTCTTCGCCATTCCTGAGGCGGATATGGCGATCCTCACACGCGCCTACACCGAGATGGCCGCTATCTACGACCCCCCGTCGAATGTGCATCGAAGATTCCGCCTGGGACGACAGGGCAAGAACGAGACACCGTTGGCGTTTCACAGTGCTCTCCTCACTCGGGGGCACGCGGCTTTTCCGAAAATGGACAGCCAAGCGCTGGACTCTCTCGCCTTGGAGCGGTGACGGAGGACGACAACATCACCTCCCTGCAAGTGGCCCTCGGCATCCAGACACACCTCGACCTCAATGACCGGCTGGCAGTGGCGGCCACCAGCGCATCGGGGCCGGACGCAGATGCGCTCGGGGGTGCCTCCTTCGACCGTGGGTTGGAGAGGGGTACCGCACAGCACCCGCAAGTGCAGGAATGGTGCCCCAGGCTGCGCCAACCGACCGGTCGCCCCTACTGTACCTGCTACAAATGCGGCTGTGCGGGACACATCGCCATCGACTGCCGCCGCGGTACCAAGAGGGTCCCGCTGCATCCATCCTACGGCTTCAACGACTCCTCTTCCCGCAACGTACAGGCGAGTCTGGTTGCATCCGACACACGGCCGTCCTTTTCCCATCATCCATCTAGTATAGGTCGCGTGCGGCATCAGTCTGTAACATCTCGTCCCGTCGCGAGTTGTACACGGAGTGCGCGTTCGTTCATGTGTTGGCCACGCGGCGCCGATCAGTGGGACGCACTAGCTCATCGTGTTATGGCCGCTGCGGCGGGTTCTTCAACAATTGAGGGGCTGATTCAGGGGATTCGAGTTTGGTTGTTGGTTGACACGGGAGCCGTTGTGAGGCCGTGTTCCACACGTTGCCTTCGTCATGCGATCCTCTTGCCCCCGTGGAGAACGCTTGTGCTGCGGCTAACGGGGGGAGCCTGGATATTCTGGGGCAAATGTCGGTCACTGTTCAAATCGGGGAGGGTCAAATTTTGGTGTCACGAACGTTGACCGTGCCCTGTTTGTTGGGCACCGATTTTCTGAGCTGTTGACGAGATGCTAGCAGCAGACATTATTGCTTCGTCGAACAGCCCGTGGGGAGCGCCCATTGTCCTAGTGAAGAAGCGTGATGGAAATTTCAGATTTTGCGTTGACTTTCGCAAATTAAATCAAATATCGGTTGCGGATGCGTACCCTCTACCTCGTATGGATGACTCGCTCGATGCATTGTCGGACAAGTCGAAACCAAAAAAACGCTTTTCGTATGCCCCAAGGCCTTTATCACTTTCATTGCCTTCTGATGGGATTGAATTCAGCGCCAGCCACCTTTCAGTGGTTAATGGAGTTGGTCCTAGCAGGGTTGCAATGGGATTCTTGCCTCATATATTTTTAGCAAAACCTTTGACGAACATCTGCAGCGATTGCGCTCGGTCTTCTAGAGAGTGCGTGCGGCCAAATTGCAATTCAAGCCACAAAAATGCCATTTGCTTCAGACGTTGGTTAAGTACTTGGGGCATGTAGTTAGTGCGGCCGGTGTCTCCATAGATCCAGAAAAGACTTTGTGTGTGCGCACGTGGCAGGCGCCTAAATTGGTAGCAGACGTCCACAGTTTAGTTGGATTCGCTCTTACTACTGGCGGTTAATTAAATATTTTGCCACCAATGCTAAACCACTCCATGCCCTTACGGCCAAGGGCCAGAGATTTTGGTGGGATAGGACTGAAGAGGATTCCTTCCTCGCCCTCCGCTCTGCCCTTGCCGATGCCCCCCCACTCGCGTACCCCAATTTCACTAAACCCTTCGTTTTGGACACCTGATGCCAGCGACACTGGCATTGGGGCGGTCCTTTCCCAGCTTATCGAGGGAATGAAGAGAGTGGTTGCTTACGAAAGTCGAGTTCTGTGTCCTGCCGAGTAGCGCTATTGCATCATGAGCAAGGAGCTCCTGGCTATGGTCTACTTTATTCAGCTCTATCGTCCTTATTTGTACGGACGAGACTTTGTAGTCTGCACGGACCATGCGGCCCTCCAGTATTCCCTGCGCATTGACCAGCCGTCTAGCCAGTTGTCCCAATGGCTTGAGATCCTCCAGGGATTCTCGTTCACGGTGGTGCACAGAAAGGGCACCCGGCACGTCAACGCTGACGCCTTGTCCAGGCTGCCTCCCCATGCCGGGGAGGCAGCCTGGAGGCGCCCATGGTGCTCGCGGCAGCAGGGACAATGCGGAATGAGGGCGCTCAGTCGCCATGTGATTCTATTCTAAATCTCAATCATGAGACGTGGGCTAAGCTGCAGTTTGATGATACTTCGTTGTTGACGTTGCGCCGGCAATGCTTCTCGGAGCCCGGGTCATGCGGGTCGCCCTTCCATCGTGCTGCGGGAAGGACTCCTCATGAGGTGGGAGGGGGAGTCCCAGCGATATTCTCTGATCGTACCCAGGGTCCTTAGGGGGAAACTTACAAAGGCCGTACACGAAAAGTTAAGGAATTTGGGTGTGCATAAAACGTTGGCGACGTTGAAAAAGGACTTTTACTGGCCCGGAATGGAGAGTGATGTCCTCCTCCTGATTAAAAGTTGTGTCGATTGTGCATGCCGGAAATCTCCTGCCACGCGACCGCAGATTCCGCTACAGTCTATTGTTGTGTCATGGGTGAATTAATTGGTTACCCTGAACATTTTGGGTCCCTTCCCAATCTCCCGGAGAGGGCACAAGTACCTCCTCGTGGGGGTCGAATATCTGACTTGTTGGCCTATGGCCTGGCCCTTGGCTGACCAGTCAGCTGCATCTATAGCCGACGCCTTTGTGAACGGCTATGTTCTGGATAAGGGAGCCCCAGAGCAACTGCTCACGGATCAAGATAGGAATTTCTCCTCCAAATTGCTCCAGGTGTGCGAGTCCTTGGGCACACAGAAAATACGCACCTCATCGTATCATCCGCAGACTGACGGGATAGTGGAGCGGTTGCATAGAACCCTCACCGCTATGCTATGCCAGCAAGTGACTGAGGGACAGTCGGATTGGGATCTGAACATCCTGGGGGTACTTGCGGCTTATAGGCTTACTCCCCATGCCTCAACGGGGTTCTCACCATTTTATTTGATGTATGGGAGGGAGCCCAAACCCTCTGTGCAACTTCAATTGGGACCGAGTCCCCCGTGGAAAAGTTCGGCAGTGCCTGACCCCATGTTGAATACACTGGAGAAGTTGTGGTTGGCCAGTGAAGCCGCTAGGGTCAACTCGGCCCGCAGACAGGCCTGTAACGAGTGGCTGAAGGATCATGAAGGGCCCGGAATACCGTGGCAAGTGGGGGACAAGGCTTGGCTACATTGCCCCCAGGTGCCTGTGGGCACATCCCCGAAACTGTACCGTCCCTGGCACGGGCCCGTCGAAATCATTGAGGTTCGGCGGTCACAGTGTGTGCGTATCCGTTTGGGCCGGCGGTGCTTATTTGTGCATCCTTCGTGGTTAAAAACATACATTCCGTCCGGTCCAGTCGATTCATCCCCACATCCCTGCCGGCCGGTGTCTGATGCATTCGGTAAGCGGACCGCCACGCCTAAAGTAACAGGCCGTGAGGAGGAATGTTCTGTACCACCTGCAGGGCCGGAGGACCTAAGGACCACGGACGGAGCGTTGTAGACTTCCTCATCGGACTGCTTATCACACTCAAGCAGACCCGTCTCTACCCGCGGGGACGGGCGTTCTGCACATACCCGTTCGCGACGCGTCGTTTTTCGTTAATTCCCCATTCCCTTGTTCTTGTTATTTTTCATGGTCACTGCTTATGATTGTCTTGTAGTTAGGGGTCGGTCACTGGTCACTATAGAGTTGTGTTAGGGGTTGTCACGTTGCGTGCGCACGAGGGATATAGCCGGGACGGCTGCGTTTTTATCCGTGGGGGGGGGGGGGGGATGATGTAGTGTGGCAAAACACACGGTGCGCACTGCTGCCCGAGGGCAACTGAGGGCAGGCAGGTACGCGTGTGCAACATAAGGTTGCACGTGCAAACCGCCACCTCTTTAACAGGAGATTCGGTTGCAGACTGGGTTGGTCCGGGGTCGTACGCGGACACCAGAGGTGTCGCCTTGGAGATGTCCGATAAGGAGTGATTGATGGCCTGGCAGGCACCAGCCTGCCAGCAGCCCTCTGCCTACAATGACGACGGCGTCCACCTCTTCATCATCGGATGCTACATGACAAAACCAGGCGAGTCGTGACACCCCAGACACCCGGCTAGTGAACCCACCTCACTTTTCACAATACAAAAATAATAACAGAACATAAATATTAAAACTATTGAATAAGAATAATTTTTTCTTGCCCGAAAGAGGAAAAACATATTAACATAATTTAATACTGGAAAAGGAGGTCCCAAGATATAGCTGTTCGCGCCAAGTTCTCAATGTCCTGATAGTGCGTTGTCTTTGTGCTGTTCGCCTTTTGGCGTCCTCTGGTCTAACACCGTTTGAGACTAGGCTCTAAAGAAAGCTGTCTCTGGTATGGACCAATCAGTTTCAAAGACAATGCACATACTGTCAGAGAATGTTTTTTGTTTGTTTGCATGTTCACCACAAGTATATGTGGTTAATGCAGTCATGATTCCTTGCAAAGGTTTCAGTTTGGTGTTTAAACATCTTAACACCTGTTTTATTGCCAGAAAGGGGAAAAACCTATTATCATAATTTAATACTGGCAAAGGAGGTCCCATGATATTGAATAATAAACTTAAATGAATTTTTTACCTTTTCAGGGAACTCACAAGAAGATCTGCTGCATGTTTGAATGACTAGCAAGGCGATGCGTAGGCGTTACTTTTGCACTGCAGGGGACACCGTGATGACGCAGCATCCCGGGTGCTTCTTGTTTGATGATTTTGTGGCGTGTGGCCGTAGTGAAATTTCGTTAATGCGGAAATTCGATTTTGTTCAAAAAAATGTGTCCATAATTTGTCAATTGCGTTCACACTAAATTAATAAACCAACCGTTCGTAAATCGAGGGATACCTGTACTCTACCAATTGCCTGTATCAATACTCGACTATTCGGATAGCATGAACGTGGTTGGACATAATCAGAACCTGGAGTGTATTTCCCACTGAGTAAAACCCATTGAGCTAAGAAGCACTTTTTCAAGGCCGACTCTGCTAGCAGACATAAAAGCAATAAACAGCCTCCCTTGCCACATGTACTGCTGGACGTGAGGTGATGAGCGGGGCTTCCTGACAGAACTGGCCGCATTACGCTGGGCGTGGCTTCTGGCACGAGAACAAGTTTCCATAAAAACGAATGACACGGTATACATGGCAGTGTATAATAATTATCTAAAAACGCCATGAGTCCAGCATTTTCTATTGAGTGGCGGGGTAGGTAGTGCTGTGATAACACTCGTTCATGTCTCACAGCAAGAAAGGCCTGGATTCAATTCCCAACTCAGGTGTCTTTCTGTGTGGAGTTTGTATTTTCTGCTCCTATTCTGCATAGTGTGTGAGTGGGGAGTGGTAGTGTAGCAATTAGCGCACTGCGATACGAACCTGCCGATCCGAGTTCAATTCCCGCTCACGGCCAACACCAGTGACAATTATCTGGTCTACTCAACCTCAAATGAATACCTGGTGCGGTGTATAAAGCATCACCACTCGGATGCCAAAGGTGGCCAGGCGTGGTGTTGGCCACCCACCCCCTCGTGTGCCGTACCGGCCTTCATAGGTGCTCGCTAACATCACTTGCCCCAACTGTCTGTTCAGGATTTACGGGGGATCTTTGTTGTGTGTGAGTGAGACTGTGTAGGTGTGTGGAGTTTGTGTTCTCCCTCTGATCTGCATGGGTGTCTTATGGGTTGTTTGGTTTCCTCCAATAGCTAAAACAAGCTATGTAACTGGCATTGGCTACACATCCCAAAGTGAAAAAATTACCTGCAAATTACTCAATTGGGAATACACTTAACATCACCCCCTCCTGCCAAAACTTTGTAGAACCCTCCTAAAAAGGTGTCTAGAGACTCCGTGAGGCTTTTTGGGTAAACAAGCATAATAAAAAAATAAACAACAAGTTGGCAAGGTTATGGGATTGAGTGTTCATTGCATCAATGTACTACCTTCGAGCGCTATCTGGCGAAGTGCGTCTGCGCGTGTTTTGTGTAAATCCTTTACACTGCAGCGACACTGCTGTAGAGTGGACCAGCGTTTTTTACCTTGACAGCATCCTGTATGCATCCGGTTTGTCTGCGGGCTTCTCCAGAATATCGCCATCAATCGCCTGAAAGCAGCAAATGTGTCACTATTATTGTTATTATTACTGTGCTTGTTTACCCAGGCAAACCTCCACCTCCATGCATCTCAAGACTCTTTATCAGGCAGGTCCTGCTAAGTTTTTGTAGCAGGCTGCGATGTTGCTGTATGTAATCCCATGAGTAATTTGCAGGTATTTTTTTAGCATTGAGAGGAAATCGAAGAAATTGGAGAAACCGGAGGAAACGCGTGCAGAACAGGGGGAGAGCAGACAAACTCCACACAGAAAGCCGTCTGTATTGGGAGTTGAACCCAGGAATGTATTGCTGTGCAGCACAAATGTTATCATCGCACCACCCTGCTCTCTTGGCTAAGCCATTAACAGGAATATACAGCAATCTCTTGCCAACTGTGGACTTGCCAACCGCGGAATTCATGTATGCACGATTTATTACCTGTATACCAATTTACCAAAAGTGGTCTGGGAATTTTGAGTATCCACGGGTAAGCACCGATCCCGAACACGCGGTTCTCCTCCGCACCACCACACCACCCATGGCGCTGCGTAGCTTATCAGTTATCCATCTATTTGGTTGTGATTCTCGCAGCGCATAGAACGTGCCACATCGTAACCATACAGGAAGGTGTACCAGGACTTACACAAAAATACTGCAGCAGCCATCCATCCTAATTTTTTTAAAGAAAAAGAAGCTGCACCACTGGTCCAGCCAGCAGCACCACTGATCCAGCCAGCAGCACCACTGATCCAGCCACCAGCACCACTGTGCCTGCCTCTGTGCCTACCTCCTTACCTAATCACTCATGTGTCTTTGATGACCCAGTGGAAGAAGGTGGGCTGAGACCCTCCTCCTTCTATCCACCCCTTCCCCCATCATCTCATTGTCATCATCGTCGTCATCATAATAATAGACTTCTACCCTCAATATTAAAGGTATGTAAAGTAAATGTAGTGTTTATTTATGTTTTATTATGTTATTTTGTAATGTGCTGTATTTTATGCAGTGTTTAGTTAATAAAAAGGCAACTTAGTTAAGCTGTGATGAGAATGACCGTGGCCATGGTTCCTCTACGCCCTATTTCCCCTGTACTTTATCAACTCCAGATTTGCCTACCACGGCCTTTTCCAGGAACATAACCCCTGTGGTTGGCGAGGGATTGCTGTATAGTCCTGTCACCTTTAATGAGCAATGTGGGAGTATGTGTGGGGAGTGGTGGCATGGTTGTTAGTGTACTACTATATGAACCCAGCAATCCGAATTTGATTCCTGGGCACGGCTAACATCAGTGGTGCACAATATCTGAACCAGTTCTGGGCTTCCCTTAGGTCGATGTTTTTACGTGTGTTTGTTCGCATGTTTACACGTGTGAACCGGAAGTTTAGTGGTAAGAGCACTGTGCTACAAACACAGCCACCCAAGTTCAAGGCCCGCTCATGGATAACATCAATGACGAATATTTGAGCCCGTTCTGGGCCTTTCCTAGTTAGCCTTAAATGAGTGTGTACTGTATTTTCCCACATATAACCCGCAGGGTATACCACTTTTTACAAACAAAACAAGACCCTGTGGGGTATATGGAGGTGCGGGCTATCCCAAAAATATTTGACACGTGTGACATGTCATGTTTTCATGGTAGGACTATCCACTATGCAACACTTACCTTTGACTAAAGCACTGCTGAATAAACCACTCACACTAAAATTGCACGTGTTATTACGTTTTAAATTACTCGAATTGTTTGTACAATGAAACGACAATGTTTGAAGTGGGCGCACTTTGTTTACCGTAATACTTTCAGTGGCTGTAGGGGGGTGTGAAAGTTTCAGCTGAGTCTATGGATTGCATAATGGGAAGGGCCTTAACAAGCGTGTACCAGACGTGGAATCATAATTGCTGAGTCCCTTAGGCCGATGCTATTAGCTGAGCACTATACAGTCACGACCATGAGCTTTATTTCAAACTTCCAATGGCTTTGTTGCCAGGAGGCAATGGCGGCACCGTAGTGCCGCTATTGTCTGCGCAGTGCGCAAACTACCAGTGTTAAAACTGTACAGGGGTAACTACTGGTCCAGTAGCTGTAATATGATGAGGTAGAATGCTGGTAAGCCAAACAGTATCTTACTTACAGTACTTATCTACCAGTTATGTGTTACTTATTTATTGGATATTTACTTTTGTTACTTATTTACTGTTTTAAGTTCACTCGTTTCCGGTTAGTTTGTTTTCTTTGTGCACGTTATGATTTTAATGTTAACATATTAATACAACGTTTACAAATGTAAACTTTGTATTAATATGATGGATTTAAGCTGCGGTAACGAGGTTAAAGATATGAATGCATGCGGGGTATATGGAGGTGCGGGCTATCTGAAATTTGTTTTACACAAAACGCTATTTTTGCGGGTTATATGCGTATGCGGGCTATATGCAGGAAAATACGGTAAATATCAGCACCTGGGAGGCAAGTGGCCAGGGGCAGTGCTAGCCACACACGTCTGTCTCTCTTGTGCATCACTAATAGCACTTGCCCCAACAGCATGTATAGGTTATCTTTGTGTTTGTGTCAAACATGAACATGCTTAGTGGATATATGGCAACAAATTGATTAATCGACTTACACCGATTCTTAAGCTCATGATGCAGGATTTAGATCGCATGCATGAGAATCGATTGTTTATGAGCTACGCATGTTACGGCGACGTCACGCTTAGGCTAACGGAGCGAACGAAACCATCCCGAAAAGACGGAAGAAAAGAGAAACAATACAAATGAGATGGTGAAAGCGAGTGCTGCAATGATTCACCTCACCAGCTGGGATTAGATAAATTGTTGACTCATACCTACAAAACTGAATACATGTGTCGCGAGCGTAAGAAACAAAATTAAGAAATTCATGCATTCATCAATCCACGTCTAATGTCCCAATGCTGAATTACACAAGAAAACAAATTGTAAGCGCATGTCTAACGATTGGCGTTTTAACTTACCACTACTGTGTCAGCTCCGATCACCAAGTCTGGTGTTTTCTGATGTCTCTGTTTAAATAAAACACACGCAGAACCTTGTTTAGTTTTTTTTGTCGCGAATTGCATCTCAGAAAGCTGTTGGGAAAGTGGTGTACCGATGTGTGTGAAGTATTCACTCAGTGCGTACTGCCAGGCATGACACATGGATCAGAGACATCAGCACTGACAAAGAGAATCAAACAAGAGCTGAAGAGGGATTTCCTCATCACGATCCATGGGCAGATAGCCCATAGGTGTCCACTACACATTGTCATTTGTTTCACTTTACTGTCTTATTCTATGCATAACCTTCATAATTACATTTTGGGTCAGATCGTGCAAGTAAAATGTGTGTCGTAGCGCACACGCCGCTGAGCATATAGGCGGGTGTGCCAACAGGACGGAGGAACTAGGGCAAGGGTCATGGTCGACCTCGTGTGGAAGCCCCTGGAATCCTCTGGAAGGTTCCAGAAGGGAGGCCCGGCTAGGGCGGAGCCAAGCCGCGCCGAGGGGGATAAAAGCAGCAGAGAGCGAGAGCTCCGGGCTGCCGGTTTTGGGATTGGACTCGTCTCATCGTCGTCGTCGCCGCCCCCATCGCTGCCGCTTTCGCCCAATCATTGCATGGCCGGACAGTAGTTGGCTGTCCCGGTCGATGCCGTTGGTGCAACGCAGACAGGGTTGTGTCTGGGACGAGTTGTGCGGCAGCGGGGTCGTGTGTGGGAGAGAGAGGGGGCCCGAGTGGTGGCATGAGCTCGGCTCATGCCTCCTGCGACCACCTCGTCTCTGGCTGACTGTGTGTGCGACACATGCCACCCGCACGCACAGACGACACTACATATGTATGTATAACTTCTTTTGCATGGTACGTTTGCTAACCGTGCTAATCGGAGGTGCGGGGCAAGGACAAACTAAAAAAAAACGCATTTCTAAAGAAAAACATTTTCAATCTAGATTTAAAAATGCATATCTCCAGTGGCTTCCTAATATCGGAAGGAAGAGTGTTCTAGACGGCCGCAGAAGCGCATTTGAAAGTGCACAATGCAGTGACCGTGTTATTCGATGGCTAGCCAAAAGCTGCGGCAAGGATGACTGGAGTTAGCATGATGGTTTATGCTCTTTGACAAGATCAGCAAGGTATTGTGGTTCATTTGTGGCAAGCACTTTGTGTGTAATGAGTGCGACCTTATAATGTGTTCGTTCGGCAACTGGACACCAATGCAGCACAGTGAGAACTGGACGGACATGGTCGGATCTTGTAGTACCCATCACAAAAAGTGCCAGATCATTTTTTTGTATACACTGCAGCTTGGTCATGTTTCTGCCACACTTCCCGTAGAGTAGTGAGTTGCAATAATTGAGCCTTATCGATACTATGCCATGCTAATGTACATCGGGCCCTCAGGATGAACGGATACTCTGACCGCACCATCCGCCAAGCTGTTTCTCCCACCATACAGAAACAGCCACATGAAACTCCGACCAAAACTATCACGTTGCCATACATAGCAGGCGTGACCAAAAAGATATCCAAAATTCTAAACAAACATAAGATCCAAGTCCGATTCAGTACAGTGCATAAAATCCGTGATCTGATTCCATCTGTGAAGGATGTCGTTCCTGACTTACAGTATCCTGGAGTCTGTAAACTGAGTTGCAGTTGTGGTGATTGCTACATTGGAGAAACGAAACGTCATGTTTCTGATCGTGTCCGCGAGCACAAGTCAGATCTGAAACACGGCAGAACTGATTCTTCGGCCGTTGCCGATCATTGCTACAACTCTGTGGGCTCTCATGAAATTGTCTTTTCCGAGACCAAGGTGCTCTGCAAACTTCCTGGCTACCATCAAAGGTTTGTACACGAAGCCATACAAATATACAAACACAGACATAATTTCAACCGTGATGATGGGTACAAACTGAGTAATCATTGGAAAGATGTGATTAACCATGCAAAAAAGATTTAACTACACTTATTTGGACCATCTTATTTGACAGACAACTATTACAGGTTATTGATAGACAGCCAGTATTGTTTTACCAGGTTTAGTTTTTTCTTTTTTTCACACTTTTGTTATGTAGGCTAGGCGTAGTCACAAACCGCACCTCTCCATAACAAAGGCTCAGTCTTTTGTTATGCAGTCTATTCTTAGTCTTAAGCCTCACCTTACCATATTAATAAAAAGTGTGCCGTACTTGGCCTTTCCCCTCTTCAACCATTATATATACGGAGTGGTAGCTCTTGTAATCTCTCATTTACTTGATACAGCTGTCGTGGCTGTGACGGTTCCACCTGAAGACGGAAGCTTGTGTTGCCTCCGAAACGTCGTGATTTTTATTTTATTTTACTTTTATTAATTACAATTTTTTACCTACGTGACTTTACCGAAAAAACCTAAGAATATGAATCCTTGCAGTCACAAAAGCTTCAAATCTAGAACTATGCTACACGCCAAAATGGTGGCTATGTAACGACTCAACAGTAGTCGAATGTGTCGTAGAGCCCTGATATGAATATATTTTTAATGTGGTGATCAAACGACATATTCTGGTCGAGTATGGTACCGAGGCTCTTTAGAGGAGTAGAAAACTAAATTCTGAAGTCTGCCACACCTGATCCTCCCACACAATTTTTCGCCTGAGTACTAACCAGCAGAACTTCCTATATTTTTGGATTAAGCCGCATTTTGTTTCGTGCAAACCACACGTGCACCACTCGTGTACAATCTTCAAGATTACCGAGGCTTTCCATGTCTAACTTTGACTTCACTGCGGTGTACAATTGTGTATCATCAGTATATAATTTAAATGTCTGTCATGCGTTCAGATGATATCGGCGATCTGAGAGGCATATGTTGACAAAAGGAAAGGCGTGAAGATGGATCCCTGTGGTCCGCCAACTAGCCACGGCATAGGCGATGACTGTTTGTCTCCCAGCTTGACAAACTGTAATCAACCATAAAGGTATGACTTAATCCACCGCAGTGCTGTACCCGGTACACCGAACCTTAATCTTAGCCACCCGATAAGTATCTCATTGTTAATAGTATTGAAGGCAGCTGAGATATCGAGGCCAACCAAATCTGTGGCGTCCCTGTCATCCATGATCTTGTAGAGGTCATCAGTGGTCTTTAGTAGAGCCGTCTCAATGCTGTGGAGCTTCTGGTACGCCGACTGCAATGGGTTGAATCATCACAACAGTGTGGGGATGTAATCGCTTCAGACACAGGGACTTTATGCCCTTTGAAATTATACTCAGGTTTGAACTCAGGCAATAGTTTGCGGGGTCACTATGGCTCAAGCCAACTTTTTTCAGGAGCGGTGTTTCCTGCGTCATTTTTAACTGGTCTGGAAAACAGCCCTTGCCAAACGAAAGATTTGCCAAGTGGACAATCAGTGGCACAAGCAAATCTGAGCATGATTTGACAATCGACGTGTGGATCTAGTCGAACGGCGATGTCTTATTTGGCAGCCGTGCAATGAACATTGACACCTCTGCCACCAACGTTGGTGCCAGGGTCTGGATCTCCTGCCAGCCAGCCTGCGGCGGTACCCTACCTCGTGCATGCGCTTCGCCACCTCCAAGGCCTTGCGCACGGCAGTCTCAGTCGCGTATGCGTACGGCGCCGGGTACTCAGCCTTGCTCAGGTCCTCCGAGTACCATGATGGGACCACCTCGAACTTCAACCCCTGCAAACAGCAATCCACGACAACAGTCAGTCAAAAGGCAACCTTGCTGAGCCATGCTGATTATCCATACAGAAAGTGAAACCCAAAAACCTAGCTCAAGACAAAGAAGATCTTCGGCGTAGCCTTGATCTTCGGTGTAGCTGTCAGCAAGCACCAACCTTACCCTCTCTTATTAGGCCAAGCGTATTGGCCCTTATGGCCCATGGGCCCCGGTGCAGTTTCACCACCTGTGCACACAATAACTTCACCACTGGTTCCTATGCTAGTCTATGGGTTGTGATCATCTATAGGTGTTACGTATTTATATTATGGATCTCTATGAGAGTCTACGGGTAACTGAGTCTCAGACTTCTTCTTTCGTATGGCAAATGCAAAGCAACAACTTCAATTTCACATTCAAGTGGTCAAGCCAGATAACCGCATCAAGAGCAGCAGAGTGTATCGCTGTAATGTCTCCTTCGTATATGTGGATCTGGCATTGTGTCGTTCTATGTTGTATGGTCTGTTCTGGATGACCACAGTCGCACACTGGAGAGTTTGACATTTTCCATCTGTGCATCAGGTGTCCGCATCTGCCATAGTTTATGTGGATGTGATTTAGGGTGCGCCATGAGCTTCGTGGAAGATCAAACCCAGGGATCTTCTGTATTGGATTTTTCATACCGAGGTGTTTGTGAGTTCTTTTGAATATCCATTCAGCTCTCCAAGCTTTATCAGGTTGAATTCTGATTGTTTAAGGTTAAGTGCATGGGTCCAAAAGGGCTTGTGTGACTTCAAGCGATAGGGAGGGATGTTATTGAGGTCCTGATGAATGGGAAGGTGACTGCTTTCCTTGATTTTCAGGATTTCCCAGAGGGTTACAGCATCATCGCGGATGGGTGGGGGAGAGATGTGTAATAGGACGGGCAGCTGGTGTGTTGGGGTTGACTTGAGAGTTCCAGTGATACACCGCATTGTATTGTTCAGCTGGGCATCAATAAGTCGAGTGGCTACTTCTGATACATAATGGCACACAGTATTCGGCCACAGAGTACACAAGGGTCATTGTTGATGTCTCAATGGCATAGCATGAATGCAATGGACTCTGGTGCAAGGAATGAAATGGGGCACTCTATGCAATGCACCACCTCTCCGAAGCCCCACTTGCATACTCACCATTACACTGTGGTGGATTTCTAGTTTAGCAATGACCATTCCTCAGTGCTCGACAGACAAGAGGTGGCAGTGATGGATTGCTTGTGAATTCAAGGATCGTGTGTGTCCAGGGTCAAAAGCGACCACAGTCAGCCAAACTCTGTTAAAAGTGCTGTGCTGTGCTTGGTTTAAGGACACACAGTTGATTCCTATTTACTTTGGAGAGTTGTGCACAAGAGGGATGGAGAGACAGACAACAATGTGGGGAGTGTGTGAGCAGTACTTGTAGTCTCGTTCATCTTATCAGTATTTTAATGCTTTATTTCCCTACCAATTTCTAGATCACACTCACTATCTTAAAGATTCCCCATAGAGTAGCTGCTGCCTACCCCTCTCTTCAACGTTCGGGGCAATGCTTTTGCTGTAGCAAAACACCGCAAAGCAGGACCCTGACCCTCCTGAAAATGCGTGGCAAGCCTCAGCAAGGCTGTACTGGGTGGGATGACACTTCAAAAATATCATAGTTTCACATTTCACTTATTCACCCAGGAAATCCTCACTGAGACTCATGCCTCTTTTTAAAGAGGGTCCACACCGTGGGCTATGCTTTGCGAATGACGTCACATGATCTTTAGCGTGAAGCAGTTAATATACCCCGTAGTAACAACCAGGGCAGCCACTGCATTAGAACCATAAACCTCTGCGGCAAGCAGCAAACACACTCTCTCTTGCTCGGCCGCGGCACCGACCAACACGTACAATGTTGGTGAGGATGTCCCGTCTGCGTGGAGAGGCACTGGCCAGCACCACGCACTTTCCGGTCAACTTGGCCACAACCGGCTTTAGCATTGCTACAGAGGGGGTGACAAAGACAGAGATGGTGCGGGGGTAACTGTCAGACCCCACATAAATACACGTTACAACACATTCAAGCCAATACATACACATGTGAGCACACACACAAATGGCACAGACAAGAGATGGCCTGTCAGCTAACAGGAATGCACCTGAACACACAACCACAACCTCCATTCATCACAGAAATTCCTACATAAAAAACTGGGTATAGTTAGTGGTGTTACAGGGACTTTAGGCTGGATGGCATCCTTTTTAACATCAGGAGGCTCCGAGCAGTCACGAAAAATAACATCTGCGCCTATCATCGAGCTACAGTATGTTGATGACTGTGCGCTCGTGGCCCACACACCAGAGGCCCTGCAAGCTACCCTTGAAGCTGCTGTAAGTGTGTATGACAGATTGTGTCTCTAAGTGAATATAATAAAGACTGAGTAGTATGCCAGTGGGCATCTACTAATCCACCTTATTCACCCACCTTCCCCGTCTTTGAGAAACCACTCACTATAGTGAAATCCTTTAAGCACATGGGCAGCTGTCGGGCGACTGCAGCATTGAAAGGGAAGTACAAAACCAAGTAAAGCAGGCGTCATCCATGTGGCAGTCAGAGAGGGATAGCTTTGGGGGGGGAGAAGGAGCGAGGGATGCGCGGGGCAGCATTGTGCGAAAGTGTTTGCAGGTGTGCGATTTGATCAGCTCGTGAGCATGATGGATTGGACTAATTTGAGCACGTTGCGCTAACCCATTTAGAGAACAAAGGGCTTCAACTCAATAAAGGGGCCCGCCGCGGAGACTGCCGGGGTCTTGACCGACGCGTCCGCTGTGCTGCAGACTTGAGACCACGCTGACCACGTGAAACTCCTCCTCGTTCACGGCAGGAAAGTCAGCCATGTCGGTGTGTCATCCCAGCAACCATCATTTTGGAGCCAGGAGTGTTGGTGACAACTTGCTGGCCTGTGAGCGCGATCGACTGGGGTTCTGCTGTTGACTGCTGGTCTGTTCTCCAGTGTGTCATCCCAGCAACCCTCGTTGTGCAGCCAAGAGTGGATTGTCACAGAAAACCACCTGCAGCTGCCATGAAAATAGCCCTCCGCGAATGCTGAAGCCTGCGGGGCGTCGGCAGCTGGGGCACTCACGGGGAATTAGGGAGGTGACCACCTGAGGGCTGTGAAATTGTCCTTGGAACGTTAAATTTAATCTGTTCCAGAACTGGGGAACATTTCAAACAAACCCTGGATGGTTGCTCCGCAGCTGTCTCCCGTCAGTGTTCGTATTTGAATAAATCCGTGAAACCGGTATTGTCGGGTCGTTGTATGATTGTATTATTTGTTGTTGCTGTTATGAGGGTGATTTGGGTTGCTATAATTGCTGGTGATATCTTCTTGGTTCTTTCGGTAAAGTCACGTAGAAGGGAAGTAATAAAATAATAAAAATAAAACATAATAAAACAATTCTCACGACGTTTCGGCCACAACGCAAGCAGCCGTCCTCAGGTGAAAACCAGGTCCGTCGAGGCGACAGTCTGAATGAAACAGCACACGAGCTTGGAGCATATATATAAGCTGGGCGCATTGACAAAGGAATTTGCATATCAAAAGGAATTTAGCATATTTATGGTGATATGTTCACTCCCACAGAGAAGTAGCAAACTTGTTACCATTAAACAATTTAATGACTATAAAAATGTTTTATTCAAAGTAAATTCCATTATTTTGCAGTATACTGGCAGTGATCCTTCTTATACTCCGCACACGGTCATCGGGTGCGTCGCGTGAAACAGGGGCCCAACCATAAACTAAACCACAGCGGTGCGAGTACTGAGAGCTAGGATTTCAGTTATAGACCGAAACCTCCAAAGCTCACGTCGCAAAAATACGCACCGTTACAATCCTTTTTTGGCATGCTCAGAAAAAGGGTATTCCAGAACAAGGACCTCAGCCTACATACTAAAACATCCGCTTACCGGACAGTAGTAATCCCAACACTCCTTTACAGCTGGGAGACGTGGCCTTGTACAGTTGTCCCATGAGGATGCTTGAGGCCTTCCATATTAGGTGTCTTCAAAGCATCCTGGGGATAACCTGGCATGACCGAGTGCCCCATACTGAGATACACTGCAAAACCAACTGCATCAGTATGGAGGCTACCATCATCCAGCACCAACTCCGCTGACTCAGTCACTTCATCAGGATGCCAAAGGAGCATCTTTCACGTAAGGTCTTGTATGGCCAACTGCACCTAGGCCACCACTCTACAGGGGGCCATAAAAGGCACTACAAGGACCAACTGAAGATGGCCATGAAAAAGTGCAGCCCGAACCCTACCCAGCTGGAGGACACTGCCGCAAAACGCTCCATCTGGCGCCAGCTCTGCCAGCAAGGAGTGTCGATGCTCGAAGAGGACTGAAGTGAGCTATGGAAAAGGAAGCATCATAAGAGACATGAAGCGAGAACCATACCTACACCTCCAATCAGCGGCTTCACCTACTCTGTCTGTAGCAGATGCTGTGGGGCGAGGATTGGACTTTACAGTCACACAAAATCCCACAAATAGAGGCAGAGGAAGAATGTCATCATCGGATATGATGGATAACCTTGAAGATGAAAGACCCTGGAATATTGCCGGTTTATTGTTGGCAGTTCAACCTATCGCAGGTAACCTCTGTCCACCAATTGAGCTATCGCAGGGGTTGTTTTGGGGGTTAGTTTTGGCCATTCGCGGGTATACTGTACATAGAAGTACTGTATCATTGATAATACCGTGGGGTGGGCGAGGGACACAAGGCAAGTCAGTGGCACCTCAACCTTTGCCGTGCAAGCATCTTGCGGACAAAGACCACCGTATACCCTATTAACAGACGGTTGGGGCAACTGCTGTGAGCGAGCACCTATGAAGGCCAGTACGGCATACCAGGGGGTGTGCAGCCAGCACCACACGCCTTTGTCTCCCAAGTGGCAATATTTACACATTTCACCGGGTATTTATTTGGCTGAGTCGACCTAGGGGGTGCCCAGGACCGATTTAGGTAATCGTCACTGGCGTTGGGCATGAGCAGAAATCGAACTTGGGTCGCCAGGTTCGTGGTGCTGGCCACTCATCAGTCATCACCTCGCGTGCTGTTCCGGCCTTTATAGGCGCTGCTCGCTAACGGCACTTGCCCCAACAGTCTGTGAAGGCTACGGGGGTATCGTTGTCATTGGTGTGTGTGTTTGTGCGTGCACGTTTGCCTGGTGTGTGTGTCTTTATTTGTCGTTGTCTTTTTGTGTGCGTCTGTGTGTGTGTGTGTGCAATTGTGGTTACTTATTGCGACCCTTTCGACAAGCCATCCAGCATCAGGACTTAATGTTTTATTTACTATACAGTATTTTTCTAGTGTTGCATGCAAATGTACACTATTTGTATTGTTATTTATGAGTTTAACAACCGCAACACATTTCATAACACTGACCATTTGGCCATTTAAAGTACATTGTGTTCCGACTTACAAACGGGCCCCAGGAACGAATTGTATTCCTAAGTCGACTGTCCGTATTTCGGGAAAACATTAGTGTTGAATATTGCAGTTTTGGTTTTCGCGGCACTTTGCAAGAACGTAACCCCGCGATATTCAAGTTTCTGCTGTACTGCGTTTGGCAGTGCTGCAAGAGCTCAGATAAACAAAAACTCCAACACATTCTCCAATAACACTGTGTGGCCTTCAAGACCTCAGGATCGTGGGTTCGGGTAGGGAGGGGTAAGTTTTGTTGTCAAAACTGTGCGAGTCCACCGATGGTGGTCATGTGAGCTGTGGCCCAGTGGTTAGTGCAAAATAACCTGGCAACTTGAGTTGGAGTCCTGGTCAGGGATATCGTCAGTGGCGAGTGATGTCTGAACCGGTCCTGCCACCACCCCATTCAAAAACTCGCGCTGACCAGCGTGGAAAAGATGGTCAAGCCACCGTATACGGCCATAACGGTGCGGCGATTTGAACGACCTCGCCCGGTGCGCAGGAGGTCGTGGGTTGAGACTCCCACTCTGACGCCTGCTGCTGCTGCTGCTGTATATGTTAGTTGCATGCTCTCCTCGTGGTCGTGTGGATTTTTCTCCGGCTCCTCCGGTTTTCCTCTATATTTAGAAACATGCACTTAAGAGTATTTGGCTGCTGTAAATTCTCATAAGCCACTTCGTTAAGCTATCGTGTGGCCAGGTCGCTTCTGAAAAATAGCTACATAGCTCAGTGGGGCCTTACCTGGTAAAATTTAAACAGTGTAGTTGAAGACTACACTATACTGTATTCACCATATCCACCACACAAACTGGCATGTCAACAACACCCAGGTGCTACCCATGCATACAGCACAGAGCACATATATAATGCTTTCGCGACCACATAAATATAAATGTGCCGTTCAACCCGCCACAGCCAAGGTTTGTCGCGTAAACAGAACACCAAAGCAGCAGACATCGTGCTGCTTGTCACGGCTATCGCGATTTTCACCTGAAGACGGACGCTTGTGTTGCGTCCGAAACGTCGTGATTTATTTTGTTTTATTTCTACCTACGTGACTTTACCAAAAGAACCAAAGAGTATGGATTCCTGCAGTCACGAAAGTTTCAAATCAAGATAGAACGTGTCAATTCGTTACAAGTACATCAAACCTATATTATGGCACATGTGAGGACATTGTAGGCACTGTTTAAGAGAACCCGGCCACTCACCGCAAGCTGTCGTCTGTGCACGAGAGGTTGAATGGAGTAGCTGATCGGCTGGACTTTTATATGTTTAAAACAAAATACAATGAAGATGATTTCGCGCAGCCACCGTAACTCAGCCGCGCCCTTCCTGCTACTGCCCTCAATGGTGTCCAGTACCCTTCGATTCCATAATCGATTCCTTGTGGAAGACGCGCCGCGACGCTGCAGTTGCGGTGTTTACGCTTTTGGAATCAAACGGAGAGCGGAGGGCAAAGAGTCCGCCATCTTACTCAGGGAAGCACGAGTGGATATAGCATCCACCATCTTACTAGGGGAGGAACCGAACGTTGAGTGGAGGGCAGAGTCAGCCATGTAGTTTCAAGTTTCAAGTTTCATTTATTAGGTGTAGCCCTGTGAGCCATGTGGCTCTTGAGTCGGGTGCAACCGCAACAAACAAAATATGAACAGAGAACATCTTAAAGCGACGACGCGCAACAGAAACATCCTGGAAAGTGGATCCAGCGTTCCCCATCTTACTCAGGGAAGCACCCACGTCGAGCCAAGTACAGAGTTCACCATTTTCCTCGGGGATGCCCCTCTACAGTTGATTAAAGCCTTACATCATCTTACTCGGGGAGAAACCCGAGTTGAGTGTCGAGACGCTCTGCCATCTTACTCGGGGAGACACACAACGTTCGGTGAAGCCAGTCCGTGGAACACGTGTGCACAACTAAAACCGCCATTCGCCACGAACTGTCGGTGACGTCACCACGGTGCCTGTGCCAGGCGCACTTTTGAGGCCATGTGGAAGTGTCGAAGGTTCGCTGACAGGAGGTCTCGGGACACACCCAGATGCCATGGGTTGGCTGACTGACATTATCGGTAGATGCACCAGCTGTTCCCACTTTTGTGCCAACTTGCTGCGTTTTATTCGCCGGGCGCTCCGCTCGTTGTTGTGAGTGTCGCTCCTCTGCCTTCAGTTGTTTCAGTTTCATTTATTTGGTATAGCCCTGTGAGCTATTCGGCTCTTGAATAGGGTGCAACCAACAAAAAACAAAAACATGAACAAGAAAACATCTTAAAGTGACTATGTCCAAACAGAAAAATCCAGGGAAAAACTGCAAAGTCTTCCAGAAAAAAAAACACCGTACACCAACGCTGTGCAAAAATCCCAGTGGGATGCAAGTCAAACAACAATAACCACAAGACAACTTGAAATTAAAGCCATCATTCTAACTCCGTACTACAACAAACAAACATGGCCAAACCACAAAACGTTTTCGAAATCAAAATAAAGCCATAAGCAATGTAACAGTGATCATGGGAACTGTGACCGAAATTTCACAATAAACGATATACACAACATGTACCACCAAACCCTGTAGCCACAGCTGGCTGCATGAGTCACTCCACAACAGCAGAAGCATCAGTAGGAGTATCAAAAAATTTCAAATACACCTTTAAAGATCAGCACACTAAATCAAAACACAAGATCATACGTTGCAGCTGTTATCCGGAACGTAAACATTTCATTTTAGGCCACTGAATAGCAGTGGCAGCTAGGGGTGTACAACTCCTCTAAAGCAGTTTTGAGTGATGATGTCATAGGTAGTGATTCAAGTTGCAGTTTATTGGCAATTGCATTCCAGACCCTGGGGGCCTCAATAGCAAAGGCCCTTCTTCCAGTATTTGTACGGCAATAAGGAATGTGAAGCTGGTAAATGAGGTCACATTTGTTCTTCGAAACAGAGAGGAGATCCAGTAGGTAGTCTGCAGATTTTTTTCAAGTACATCGTGAATAAATCAGATCTGGTGCACAAGCCGTCGAACATTAAAATATGTTACGTTTGACCCAATGTAGAGATCTCAGTGGTGAGTCCTATATGGGCAGTTTAATGCAAATCTTAAGGCCGAGTGATAAATTGAGTCAAGCTTTCGATTTAAAGCTTTCGTGACTGCAGGGATTCATCTTCTTGGTTCTTTCGGTAAAGTCACGTGGAATGGAAATAATAAAATAATAAAAATAAAACATAATAAAATAATTCTCACGACGTTTCGGCCACAACGCAAGCAGCCGTCCTCAGGTGGAGAACAGGTCTGTCGAGAAGATAGAGTCTGAATGTAGACATTTTTTGCATGTCGTATTTTTTTGACACATGTGTAATGTGAGGACATATCCGGGTTGCTGTTGGATTACACCTCGTACGATGATTGGCTCTGCCGGTCCTGGCCCATAGCCAATGGGGAGAAGTCTAGGGGCGTGGCTCTGACGTAATGGGAAGGTGACATCTGTAAGTAGAGGATTGGATTTGCTGGCTTTAGCCACAGCCAATGGGGGGACGAGTCAGGGGCGCGGTCCTGGGAACGTACGATGGGGTCTAGAAGATTCCATAGAGGTTAACCAGGACTGGTGGAAAGGTACCACGTGACCCGGGTATTAAAAGGGGTGGAGATGGACAACACGTGGTCAGATCTGGAACGAACGGAGGGTGAGGCCACGCTGGAGCGGGGTCCAGGCTGCCACGTGGCCGTGCGTGTCTCTCTCTCTCCCTCTCACGCTGTCTGTCAGCAGCGTGAAAGAGTAAGATAGGAGTGTTGTGAACGAAAGACAAATAAAGACCGGATTCCAGAAGTTGCTTCCACGACCTTTATTACATTGGTGACACAAGTGCTTCTTGAGACCGTTTGGACAATTATTACAAAATGCCCAAGCACCTGAAGAAAAGAAACCCACCGGATCCTCCGTCGGATGAAGATGTCGAGGCAGACGAGGCCAAGCTGCTGGGAGCCACGGGTCCTCTACCGCCGTCTGCCGCTCTCCCCGACGCCGCGCATCGACGACAGGCCAGCGAGGCGACGTCTCCGGCTGCGGATCAGGGGTGGCTTCGGGTGGCGGAGCAGATAGAGTCGCTCCGTGCGATCCTGCTAAATCTTGCAACGGCGGTCGCGTCATCAGCGGCCCTCGGTCGGCCGCGTGGAACTCACCCAAGGGCCGATGACCAAGATCTTCAGCGGGAAACGCCGTCCGCCATTACTCCTGCCGCGGAAGGGGAGGCCTCCATCTTGGGCAGGGCTGCTGCCATGCGGCCGCCGGACGCTATCTTGACGGAGCCGCGTGCTGCACGGGGAGCGGGATCTGACACGCCCGAGGCCTCGGATATTCACCACGGCCATCACCTTCCTCAAATTAAAGAATTTGCCGCCAGGGGCGACTGGAGCGCGTTCACGTGGCGGTTCGAGTCAGCATTTCGGTCTGTGTGATGGACGGAGGCAGAAGTGCTGGAGGCTCTGCCCACGCTATTGGACGACGTCTTTTTGGCAGTCTTCCGCTCCATCTCGGCGAGTAAGAAAGAGACACTGCGTGACGCTTTCGCGGAAATGGCGGAGTTCTATGAGCCACCGACGGCGGCTACCAGGAAATTCATGCAGCGGCGTCGAGGAGCAGATGAATCGCCCTTGGCCTACCGAGGGGCGCTGTTGGTGCTTGCCATGGCCGCCTACCCTGATTCGTCAGCCGATCTCCTGGATCCTCTCATCCTTTCTAGAATGATTGAGTTGTTCCAGGAACTTAACATATCATTACCGGTGTGCGGCCACGAACCGCTAACGTCTCGATGGGCGGCATGCTGTTTGGACACCGAGTTCAACCTCAAACGCTGGGACCAGATGGCTGCATGGACGGGAGATCCTGAGATAGACGCGCCACCGTTGGGATGGGCCCCACGTCGTGTCGTCCACGGCTCCAACGACTCCACGACTCCAGCGACGACGAGGTGATGGGAGCCGTTCCTCGCTGGGTCCCGAAACGCCGGCCGCGCGACCAGCGTGACGGGGCCGGACGTCCACGAGCGGGGACCGGGGCGTCCGACCGCCGGGCGGCGAAGGCCACATGTTTTAATTGTGGCCGACGAGGCCATTTCGCCCGGGATTGCCGCTGCCGACTTCAACCTCCTCAGCTCCCGTCGGGCCGACTTCCATCTCCTCCACCAGACGCGGATCCATGGCACCCTCGGGCAAGTCGGCACATATCGGACACCCGGCAGGTCTTGACACATCACGCATCCACTCGCACCCATGTTTGCACTCCTGAAGGGAATTGTGGGTCACCTGGGTCGATGCCACACTCGGTTACACAATGGAAAAAATTGGCTCGAAGGGTGGTGGCAGCCGCGTCGGGGTTCTCAACGGTACGGGGTACTATCGATAGGATCGATGTCCGTATTTTGGTGGACACCGGCGTGTCTGCAACCATCATTTCCGATGTTATTTTTCATCTTCTGTCCATTCCTACATCGCGGATCCGACCTGCTAACGATGCATGCGTTGCTGCGAATGGGGGTAGCATGGGTATTTTGGGGCGAGTAGATGTGCGCATTGCTATAGGGAATATCACCGCGGTGGGACCAGTTTTGAGCTCGCGTTCATTGGCTGCTTATTGGGCACAGATTTCCTTCGTCGGATGCCCGTTAAAATACTCGTCGATCAAGGTTGCTTGGAAATGCCAGGGGGCCGTAGAATGTCCTTCCTGCCGTCCCTGCTGGGCCATTCGCCCCCAGGAAACGCTGTTAACGCGATTGTTGCTGTCACGGTAGAAGTACCATCAGGCTCATAAATGCTTATTCCGCTGCGTTACCGAAAGCTGTTGGAAGCCGCGGACGATGCGACTGGTGTGTTCTTGTCCCCGTCGAACTCTGTGGCAAAATCCTTTTCCCTCGTGGTGGCTCAAACTCTCGTTCGGCCTGGTCAGGCCCCGTTTATACAAGTGTTAAATGGGGGCCCGGCTGGCTCGGTGTTGGCTCACGCCACTACAGATTTCACCAGCTTTGAGAACGACCAACCCACAAAAATGGCCACTGGCATGCCACGATCCGATCGTTCGGACGATCGATGGATCGCAGAATTGTGCGGGGAAAATACATCCTTGTCAGCCACGCAGCGGAGCGCCTTGCATTCACTATTGTCGGAGTACGCTGACTTTTTCAGAAAAAACGATTTGGATTTGGGCCATACCTCGCTCTTGTCGCACCATATCGACACCGGTGCAGCGGGACCGATTTGTATGCACCCGCATCGCATGAGCCCTGCAGAAAGGGAACTGTGATGCCGCCGCCGCGAAGCCACTCGGCGGGCGCCCCATCTACGACCTCGCCACCACCAAGCGATGGGGCCGACCCCGC